AGCTAAAATTAAATTTAATCTTCTAAGAAAACTCTATCTAATTGAATATTTGACTGTAATTTGATTAACTTCAATGACAATTTATCATGGATCATTTAATTTTGATGATATTAACATAAGGGTATATAAGGAAAAATTATAGTATAATTAATATTAACTAAATTTTCTTAATTTTTATACAAGTCAAACTAAAATAAAAATTATGAAATGAGGAGTAAAATATTTCAAAATCCATAAAAAGAGAAAAATGGAATACTGAACAAAAAGACCATCTTAAACTTTCTCTTTGTTTTAGTTTATAATATATATATAGTAAAAATCATAATCTAACTATATTTAACTAAATTTTCTTACTGTGTATACAATTTGAACTAAGACAAAAATTATGAAGGAGAGAATAAAATATGAAAAAGAAAAATGAAATACTCAACCAAGACAATATCTTAAACTTTATCTTTGTTCACCTTTTATATAGACTGGAAATAATTTTAAAAAATACATATTATTTTAATAAGTAGTTTTTAAATCCATATTATTTTTTTAATAGCCATAATTTTATATTATAATTTAATTTAATTCAACGAAAATATATAGAGAAAATTAATTTCTAATGACTTTAACTTTTATTTTAGGGAAAACTATAGTACGATCCCTGTAGTTTGTGAAATACAACTAGTCTGTCCCTATACATTTTAAAATACACAACTAGTTTATTCTGTCCAATTTTGCATCTCTTCCGTTAAGTCAACAAGAAAACGCACAGGTCAAAGAAGATGTACTAAAATATTATACTAAAAAAGTCCATATGGTTTGAAAAATAAACTGATTCTTCCCTGTGTTTTTAAAAATAAAAGGAGTATTTTCATCAGTTCATAAGGTACTTAACAAAAGAAATGCAAATATTAGACGAAATGACCTTATAGTCTGACGGAAGTAAACTATAAGGATGTTTTAGTGTATTTTTAAAAAAGACAAGAATGAACAAATTGTATTTCGCAAACCATAGGGATCGTACTATATTTTTCCCTTTATTTCATTACATTACATTTCTTCCGGATTACTTTCTTTTAATTTTTTAGTCCATAAATTTAAATGACCTTTAATAACTCAATATAATAAATAGCTTTCGGTTCAAATATTTCTTTTCTATTAGTAATACGGTAATAGTAGTGGTGGAATGGTGGTGGTGGTGAAGTAATGATTTTGATTGTGGTGGTAATAGAGTGGTGGTTGAGGCGGTGGTGGTAGTAGAGTCTGAGATTGAGCATGGATAGGTTTCAACTTTTGAGATTATAATGGAATGACTATTATATTATTATCATCTATATAATATATGAAAGCATAGAAATCTATCTTAAATGATAATTAAGTGTAAGTCTCTCAAATTGTTAAGTGTGAGGAGAACAGTTATTTAGCATAATCGTAAGAAGATAAGTTGTTGTAAGAAGATAAATTATTTTATATTTTCAGATAACGTCACATAGGATGAAAAAAGAAAAAAAAAACTAATATTAATAAGCAAAAATTATTTTATTTGAGACTAATAAAGGAATGTAAAAAAAAAAGAATTTTGATAATTTTCTCTTCAAATTAGAAGGAAAATAAAAAAAATTACGAAAATAAATTTGTATAGAAAAATTAATTTTATTTTTCTTTCATATTCAAAAAAAATAAGTAACATAAGTTTTTTCCAAAAGAAAATTTTGTTCCTTCTTATTTTTTTTCTTAATTTTAGTTCCGAAAAATGTCAGTATTCAACGAATTGGCCAGACCTAATTTTTTATATTTCCTGTTCATGAGTTTTTTAATCTAATAAACTCTTCCTCTTGTTTAAGTTACGCTATGACGAAAATTTATCATGAGTTGACTTTTAATCCCAACTCATTACTCTAATTATTAGAAGATAAGTTGCAATGACAACAACTGTAAGAATGTAAGTTATTTTATATTTTCAGATAATGTCATGTCGGAGGAAAAAAGAAAAGAAAAGAAAACTAATATTAATAAGCAAAAACTATTTTATTTGGAAATAAGAAAGGAATATAAGGGAAGAGAATTACGATAATTCTCTCTTCAAATGAGAAGAAAAATAAAAAAACTATAAAAATAAATTTGTAGAGAAAAATAAATTTTATTTTTCTTTTATATCCATTAAAATAACTAACATACGTTTTTTCCGGAAAAAAATTAGTTTCTTCTTATTTTTTCTTAAATTTAATTTTAAAAAATGTCAATATTCAATGAATTGGCCAGACCTAATTTTTTTGTTCCCTGTTCATGAGTTTTTTAATTCAATAAACTCTTCCTCTCGTTTAGAGTTACGCTTTAATGAAAATTGATCATTGGATGAATTGACTTCTAATCCCAACTCTTTACTCTCTGCATTTTATTTCTTCTAATAATTTTATTTTTCTTTTACATCTTTAAAAAATATAAGTTTTTCTGAAAAAAAATAGTTCCTTCTTATTTTTTCTGATCATTCATTAATAAGAAAGATGACACAAAAACAAATTAAAAAAACATTTCATTTTTCTTGGTAAAAAAAAAAAAACTCGGTTGATTAGCTTGGTGTATGGAATAGTCTCATATACCAGGAGCTAGGTTGTACGGACATGGGACACGAGATAAGAGAACGTATGCAATGCGATAATTTTTAAAAAAGTAGGACATCTACACGCTAAAAATAAGTATAATACATTAATATTTCAAATAAATAAACAATCATTTATAATAAATCATAAATATAAAATAAAAGCACTTAATTTTTTATTTCAATATAATTAGTTAAATTTTCAAAATTATTATCACTATTGAGAAATAAATTAATGGTGTTTTTATACAGGTCATACTAGAAGTGTCAAAATAGGTCATGGCACGCGAATATGATTTGCCTCACACGCAAAATAAATGGTTTATGGTTGAGGTTAAACGATTTCGTGTCATAAACGAATCACCCATTTATGACACGAATATAAATGTGTCGTGACGCAATTGACACGCGGTTTAGTCGAATAACCTATTTATTTGAAAATAAAGAGGTAATTTTAGTGTTAAATATAAATATTCCAACTAAAACCTATATAAATTTTATTATTATTACTTTTTTATTTTAGTTATGAATCTTGAAGAATTAATGCATTTTATGTATGAAAATTTATTTTAAAATATGATTTGAGTTAAATAGGTTAAAATTTAAAAATATTATAAGCAAGTTAAGTGGATCGTATACATGTCAACACGACCCATTTAATTTGTTTATGATATTAAGAGGGTTACACGAGCTGTATATGGATCAACACGACCCATGTAAACTGTTTATAATATTAGGTGGGTTAAACATGTCGTGTTTGTGTCACTGCCTAATTTTCGTATCGTATTCATGTTGACTATAATCGTTTCGCGTGTTAGGTGAATCCATGTTGAACTTGACACATCAACACATTTTGACACCCTTAGGTCATATGATGCATAACTTTTGCTATTGTGTACTTTGATAAAAGGCTTCGTATGATACTTAAGAAGATACATCTTAGCATTGTAATTTTTTTAAACACATCCTAATGAGATATAATTTTGTAATGCATTTCATGATCATTTTATTATACAATTTTGTTATTTTTGAATGATGTTATAAAAAATTATTTCACGGTTTAATATTGCTCCGGGCATCATGCGGGTTCTAACGCTATTTTTAAGTAATGAAAAAACAATAGTAATAATACCTATTACACTACAAACTAAAAAAATAATTCATTTAAGGGATAATTAATGTTGATTTTGGTGTACTTGGCTTCTTTTCTATTTTGGCGTCTGAACGGAAAATTATAACAATTGATTGTCAAACTTGTATTTTTTTTCAATTTGGTGTCTTCTGATGACATGAACAACCGAAATATCAAATGGGTCTAAGTGGGATCCACATATGCCTATATGTCTGCTTATATAACCCGACATTTATTCCACGTAGGTTGTCCAACGTGGCAAGAATAATGAAATTACCATTTAACCCCCCATTTATCACCCTAATCTATCATCTCTCTTTCTCTCTTTTGCGGATCTCTGCACCTCTTCTCTCTATTCCATTGAAAACCACCAATCTTGGAGGAGACGAAGAAGCATAGTCGTTATTAAGCAAGGCAAAGCCATAACCTTGAGTCCATTCTCAAGCGGATTACTACATCAAACAAGGATATGCAATACCTCTCTCATGGAAGGCCTAGCAAAAGGCAATTTGTTGTTACACCTAACTCCAAGTTTGAAAACAATGGTCATTTCATCCAAGTAAGATGCCTCCTTCATCTCCTTATCCAAGGCATCTACTATTGCTTTTTCTTAATTCATAACGCCATGCCTAATTCGCCAAGCAAGTATTCTCATCCCAAAATTAATCTCGTTTCTAGTTGTTAGTTCCATAAGTACAACTTTGAAGCTATGGCAATCAATTTTCTCATTCACTCTTGAGGTCATAGCCAACTGTGGAACTAGAAAAAATGACTAAAGGGGGTGAAAAAAATTTTCAAAATTAATCTTCGTCTCCTCCAAGATTGGTGGTTTTCAAAGGAAGCGAGAGGAGCTGGAGAAATCCCCAAAAGAGAGAGAAAGAAAGAGAAGGAGAGATGATAGACTATGGTAATAAATGGAGTTCAATGGTAATTTTATTATTCTTGTCATGTTAGATAGCATACGTGGAATAAATGTTAAGCTACGTAAATAGACACATGAGCATATATGAGTCTCGTTAAATCTTATTAGACATCTGATTATCTATGTTATTAAGAAATACAAAATTGAAAAGAAATATAAATTTTTAAACATTTAATTATCACAATTTTCCATTTAAACAAAAAAAAAAAAAGCCAATACAATCACCAAAATCAACATTATCCCTTCATTTATACATCAGAATCAACCACGTAATATAATATTTTTTTTATTACATTGAACCAACAAAGTGAAAAAATCACGATGGAAGCTTCCCCACATAACGATACACAATCACTCTCGAATTGAAAGATGTGAAGCTCCTGTGGTATCGACCACGTCAGTCTATATTTCCTCAATCATTTCTCTCTTCGCTCCATTTTCTAAACCTAGCCACCACCAACACTGCCCACTTCTCTACACTCTGCTGGCCCTTTCTGAAAAAAAAATTTCGTTACTTTTCGATTTCTATCTTTCTATGTAACAAATAATGTCAGTTTCTTCATCGACCTTCAACCTCTCGCCTTCTTTCAAACTCTCTAACGAAGCCACCGCTCCGATCAAGCAGTGTATCGTCGCCGTTAAATCTCCTAATACGATAAATGTAGTCTTTTCATCATCTCGTCTTCCTTCATTTATTAACGTTCATTCGCACTCCGTTTGCAAACTCCAATGCGTTGACTCTCACTCCAGTGCCAGCGCGATTTCTGATTCGTCGGGACGGGGACAAGATGTTAATATCGCTAAAGAGGAACGAGTTTTGGACTTGAGAATTGATGGAGGTAGTGGTGATGGTAGTAATGGAGGTTCTGGAGGTGGCTCCGGTGGAGGTGGAGGAGGTGGTGGTGGAAATGAAGGTAACGGTGAGGAAGAGAAGGAGTTTGGCCCGATATTGAGATTTGAGGAAGTAATGAAACTAGCGGAAACGCGAGGAGTGAAACTTCCGGCGGATATGGTAGAGGCGGCCAAGACTACAGGAATACGTGAAATGTTTATTCTACGATACCTGGAGTTGCAGGTTTATATATATTGCGAAAACCTTTTTGTTGGAGTTGCATCTTTTTTTTACTGTATATATATTTATATAGAATGGATTCAAAAATATGTCAGACGGATTTTGATTTTTGATTTTTTTTTCTTTTAAACTTCCCCTTGAAATTCGATTGCAGGGATCGGTTTGGCCACTCGGTTTTTTGATGAAGTACTGTACTATGTTGCGCAATCGAATGCTGGCTGATCCTTCGTTTCTTTTCAAAGTTGGAACAGAGGTTTGTTAATGGTGATTTCTTTTAATGTAAATTCCTAACTAGAACAATTGCGCAATTACTTCCATTAATTATCTCAAGCTATTTGACTTTGAACTTGAACTAATCATATTTTGGTTTGTGACAAGTTTTGGCTGTATCGGAGAGGTTAAAGATGTGCACAAGATTTCTCCTTGTATTCTGAAGCTCTTGTTGTGATTACATAATGCAGATAGTTATTGATTCTTGCTGTGCAACGTTTGCGGAAGTTCAAAAGAGGGGAAAAGATTTCTGGTCCGAGTTTGAGTTGTATGCAGCTGATCTTCTGGTTGGCATTGTTGTTGACATTGCTTTAGTTGGTATGTTAGCACCTTATGCTCGCATTGGACAGCCAGCTGTGTCAAAAGGCTTATTTGGAAACATACAACAAGCTTGTGCGGCTCTTCCCAGCAGGTTATCATCTTATATCTGAAATTTTATATTATGTGATTTACTATTCTCAAGCTCTAAAAGTGATGCTTTTGCTGCCTGATAGTGCATTGTTTTGTGTTGGACTATTTACTGTTTACACAAGGGTATTGTAAATTTCATTATTGTTGGCTTTTCTTGGGTGAATTCTGTCCAGTTGTAAGAGAATGGTTAGGCTTATGTAAGCAAAATATTGAAACCAAACAAAATGGTTAAATGTGTAAGCATGACCCAATGAATTTAGATAGTACATTACATGTTTTGTGGGATTAAAGATTGGAAAACACTATATTCAGGTTCTAGACATAAATGTAAGAAATATCTTTTATCTAAGATGCATGCTTCTTGTCCACTAAAAAGTGATCTTGGATGGTCACAAAATCTCTAGTTGAATATATTTGATGTTAGGTCCAGCTCTCAATGGTTGCAGCTTTGATATTGTAGTAGAAAAAATTGGCATCATGCTCAATTAATTAGCTAAAACTAAAAAGAATCTCTTTGAAACCTTTAAAATAAATATTTCTAAGATTGGAATTCCTTAACATGTAGCAACATTCAGCAATGCTTCATTTTTAATTGAGTATGCAAATAATTATCTTCATTTCAAGTCAATATCTTTGCATGCACACCTTTTTTGTAATTAATCAAGGATTCCATACCTATATAAAGTTCAACAGACACTTAATTCCAATCTCAAATGTAAATATGGTTGTTTGTATTGTTAATTTGAATTTATCTCTAGCAGTCTACCAGTACCAGTCTTGTTTCCCACAGCATGGTTTCTCTGATGGTACCTCTTACTGAGATGACTAAGCCTCTCTACCACTTGAAAAGTACTGGCAATGCCCTTAACTAGTACTAGGAATGGGGTATTGTTCTGCAATTGCAGCCTCACATGTGACTCACTTGAATTTGGCAGCATGGTTCCCATTTGAAAATCTCATCATCAAACACTTTTTTTTTTCTCTTGGCTCTTTTCTCATGGACTCTCTCAGAAATTTACTTTTTTTCCTTACTTCACTCATATTAACTCATCAATGCAGCGTTTTTGAAGCTGAAAGGCCAGGATGTAGATTCTCTGCGAAGCAGCGCATTGCTACATACTTCTATAAGGTACTTACTACATGTTATCCTACTTATTCACCCATAAATCTTCAAAATGATAAAACCATTATTTCATGACATTATTTTTGGAATTAGATTTGAAGTCAATTTCACACATTATCCTTGAGCCTTTCTTTTCCTATGGAAATTTTGGTGGTACTTTACAGTTATATCACTTCTGATTATTTGGATATAACTGATTGTACAATCTGCATTCAGGGTGCATTATATGGTTCAGTTGGATTTGGGTGTGGACTCATTGGCCAAGGCATCGCTAATCTGATCATGACTGCCAAGCGGTATCGTTCTCTCTAGATGATTGTTCTTGGGTTTCTGTTTCACGGTCATGGCTAAACATGTGTTTGAAATGTGATAGATGCATTAATGTGTTCCAACTTCAAATAATTTCGTTAAGTGTGCTGCATATGATTGATTTGATTGGCTTTTCTTTCTTTCTGTTTAACTGTAACTTCTATTCATAAAGACCTGAAAATGAGGTGCTCTTCTACTCTTTCTCTGGCTTATGGGAATAAGCTCTAACATCAGTAATTAGCTAAAAGTTCTTTTATGTTCAAATTCAATAAGTTTAGATTGTATGTCATTTAAGTTTGTCAAACTGAATATCAGAAAGAAATTTTTCAACAAGACAGATGCACAGTTATGCAGTTTTTTAACATATGATAGGGTAATGCTGACTAAAATATCTATCAAAAGCTTCTCGTTTTCAATTTTTACTTCTTTTCTCCCTGCATTTTTCATGTTACATTCATATTTCTTATAACTTTCATTAATTGCCAACACAGGTCAATTTCTAATTTCTCTTTTCTCAAAGGAGTTCTACTGCCATGATGTGTTTTTAACATAGGCTATTTTTTATTTTCAATTATTGTTGAAAGTAGGTAATTTCTTACTGTCTTTTTTTACCCCTTATTTTCAGGAGCATAAAGAAATCAGAAGAGGATATTCCTGTTCCACCTCTTCTGCAAAGTGCTGTCCTTTGGGGTATGTCTATATCCAACGTTAAATTTTCATCCTTCAGTTTTTATTTTTGTTCCCATTATTGCTTTTTATTGTATCTGTGAATTTAGTTCTGTTGAATTTTTTATCTATTGATAATCTGTATGTACTTCTGGTTCAAGTAGATTTGTTTAAGATTTCATTTTCACCGCAACTGAACAAACTATTGTGGACAGTAATATGCCTTATAATAAGATTTATATGGGGACATTTTTATGAAAGGATTACTCAGGCAGCAATTGCTTTTTGCAGCCTTCCATCAGCATGATGGTCATTTAATACGATAATCTTTATTCTATCAATCTCATGCTTCTTTCTCTTTATTTGCCTTTTTGATCAGGTGTTTTTCTTGCTGTATCCTCGAACACTCGTTACCAAATCATTAATGGACTTGAACGCCTGGTTGAATCATCACCTTTGGCAAAGCAAGTCCCTCCTGTTGCAATGGCTTTCACTGTTGGTGTACGATTTGCCAACAATATTTATGGCGGCATGCAGTTTGTAGATTGGGCAAAATGGAGCGGCGTGCAATAACTAGAAGTCATTTGTACAAGAAATGCTTTTGAAGAGTACACCGGTCATGTGCAAGGGAAAGGTTTATACATTTTAGTTAAATTAGCATCAGCTTTCTCTCAAGAAGCCTTCTGTTTTCTCTCAAGAAGCCTTCTGTTTTCATTCGGCTTTGATGCTTACCCATTTCCATTCAAAAATTAGGGCTGGTATTTTTGCTCAGGTTTTTTGGTACTAATAATATTAGTCACTTGTCAATGAGTGCTTTTACTGGCTGATTCATGAATTATTTCCGGTAAAACCGTGTCTGGACTGGATGATTTGCTGCTGTTTCTTATTTTGCTGTGCTGCTAAAATCTCAAAAAATGTTTAGGATGTTATGCTTGTTTGTTTGTGCAAAAGAGGGATGGAGGAGACGCGCTTTATTTTGAGATGTTTCGCTTTGTTTTGTTTTGAGTGGAATCAGCATTGACAAAGCCACATTGCCGCCCACCGATGTAGCACTGCTCCATTGGCATTATGGTTGCGAGTTGACTTCGGTGTTTCGTTTTGCTAAATATGCTCTCCAGCTTTATACTTATATTTTTCTTTCAATGAGATATTATGGGCCACAATAGATTATTTAAAAAATTAGTGTGTATATATATATATATATATATAAGTTTTACGCCAATATCTCTTCTTATCTGATATCGACTTTATATGTTTAACGGACTTGACACATTACTGTCGAGCGCTAATGGAGTTGAAATTACAATTCACTCTCCTCTATATGGACACAATAAGATGCAGAGATCCCTCCTAGTATGCGACATTGAGTGTATTCAACTGTTGCTATTGTTTTTGTGGGACTGATTATTGTTCACCACGAGAATAGTCTTGGTTAGCTTGGCGGTCTTACCGCGCATCGTTTGTAGACAATAATGGTCATAGGGCATTAATATAACCATCTGAAGCGGCGTGCTTTTTAGGATGGTTACCGGACTAGAGGAAAGTCCGCAACTTCTTGTGGAGCGTAAAACAAGCCAAACTGTGCCGCTTGGGTATGCCGAGAGCAAGTTCTGTAAGTACAACCGGCCTCGGCGAGGCGCCCATTATAGTGCAAGGAAGAGGTTTCTAATATCATCTTTATGGAGGTTTATAATATTAGCGATGGCAATGTCTTATGTGCGTGTTCTTCATAGAAGTCGGCTTCCTGTATTATACTTCTCACAGAGGAGCCTTTACTTGTCCTTTAAATTTCAATTGCGACATTCGGCTGCAAACCGCTTTCATTTTAGAGGATTTGAAAACTCCAGTAACCATTTTGAGTATTAAAGCTTTACCGTCGCCACATTTTCCAATTCAAAAAATTAAAATCGGTGGCGCGGCTGGTATATTCTTTGCTCGAGGAAGCATTTTTTTTTGTGACTGAAAGAGTTTTTTTAATGCCATTCAATTATAGCTCTCTTGTTCTTATGCTTGCTTTGTGCATCAGAGGACCTATTTTGTGAGCTTTGGTCAATCATATAGGCTTTATTTCTATCTAAGACATTGTTGTAAATTGAAAATTAGTCTATTCACCACGGTCAATATATACGGAGGACCGTGTCCTGCGGAGACTTTCCGGGAATAGCGCACTTGGTGGCTGCCTTGTCCTGGGGGCTTCATCTAAAATTGGTTTATGGGTCTATACTCCTTTGGGCGTGTCCGTTAGGCGTAAACCGTGAGTGAAATCGTCCTGGAGAGATTAATTATGTCCGTGATAAGAGGCTGATATTCTTTCGTATAGTACTGCTCTTCTGGAGGTCGAAGCTTGTTTGTTTGCCCTGTACTAAGAACTATCGAGATTCTGAGGTAGGTGGGAGATCTGCGGCCCATGGTGGAGTCATTATATTGGTTGAGCGGAAAGTCGGGTAATGCTCTCCGCTTCTGAGAGGTGCCTGCTCAGTTTTTGTTGTGTGGAACGTTGGGCATATCATTGCAAGGGGTGATAGCCCAAAACGACATCACCATTAGCACCATTAAATTGCCCACACGGACTGTACAAAGACTTCGCTTGGGCCAACCATTTGGCTATTATGGTTGCGAGTTGACTTCCGGTGTCCTGGAAAGTCTATTCTGTTTTTATATGTTTGTACGCACAACCATAAATGTAGCTTCTTCCTCTTCTTCTGCTCCAGGACTTTTTAGGTTTAACAACTTATATTTTTCCTTTCAAATGCACAGTTATTTTATTATGGGGGAGGCTCCCACATAAAAATAGATTTTTATCTCTTTACAAAAAGATTAAGCATAGTTAGTGTAAAATGCATTGGTAAATTACATTATTTTGGAGGGCTATTTCATACTCGAAGTACTCAGGGTGAGCTCAATCACCGTGGCCCTATAGAAATATTCTATAGGTTATTATTATCTCTGCGCATATTGGATGCGATATGAGGTAGCACACTTACTAAGCCCTATGTTACGCCTGATATGTGTCTCTCTGAATAGACCTATCTGTATAAATACGGCACCTCTTTTTTCGGCAGGTTCCTCTCCTTATTATCCCCAGTATCAAGCTAAAGATTAGTAGATGGTTTACCCCATGTGGTTTCTATGGTCTGTAAAGCGAGTTATATCCACCCTTATTACTATCTACTTGGTGCGTAGTTATGCAGTATGGATATTTTTTGACAACAAATGATTCATAATTTTCATATTAGAGGGGATTCAAAGCGTGTTACAATATTAATCTTCAATATACCACCATAATATTTTATATCACGAACTGGGATTGATGTACAAAAAAAATAAATCGTGTGTGGTTCCGATTTAAACTTTAAATAAAGTCTTTGAATTTTAAAACTTTATCGTTAGAATTTGTTTTGTAATCTGGAAATAACTTCACACGTGGAAAAAGTGATTTTAATATGGAATTGTTTTCTCCTTGAAAAAAATATTTTCCAAAAAATCTTATTTTCTATGTTTAGTTGTAATATGAAAAATATAAGCTATTAAAATATTAATGAAATAGAAATTCTGTATTCTAAAATTTTTAATTAAATTATAACTAATAAAGAAAAAAGAAAAAGTAAATTACGCCAGAAGGTGAAAGTGTATAACTAATTTACGTTGGCGAGGGGTTTGGACGGTGGGTAGGAATTTTTCTTTTTACGGCCCCAATTATCTCTTTCTTTCTTGTCCTGCTTGTAACACTCTCATTTGGCTTGAGTAGGGGCCAAAATTAATTTCCTTCATGGCATACAGCACCTATATCTTCGCATATACCGGTCAGAGTGGTTTTAATATTTGCGATTTTTTATTGGTAGGTCCTTAAATATTTTCTTCGTGAGATGGGCGCGGATGTGGTTGACTGTTTTTTTTCCTGGGGTACCACAATATATTATGAGCTATATAACCCCATTAGAGAGTACAATTTAAAGGGAGCCCAACTCTCCTTGACAACTCTGTTATCTAGCCGATGAGCCACTAGTACCACTCGTGAAGGTCCACCAGATTAATCTTATTTCCATTAAATGCGCTCTCGGGTAGCCCCTAATAAGGCTCATCTAGGTGATGGTTTAGGGTCTTATGGTCCGAGAAAACTTCGGTTATGCTTTCTTACTCCCAACTCTCCAAGCATGGCTGGGCGCGTACGTCTCATACCGCTGTTTTTCTCTCCACAATTAAGAGGACTTTGGTCTCTCACAAAAATTTCCAAAAGTTCGGAAAACATCTATCAACAAGGATTTACATCCGGGCGTGGCAGCAAATCCACAGGTGACCCCGCTGCACACCAAGGTATTGAACATCATAATCCCAAAAATAAAACCCATGGCCACAGAAATCATCTATTTATTAAACTTTTTAAACAAACTAAAAATAATTTTTCCTCGTAAAAAATTATTGTTAGGAAAAAAATCATTTGGGTGGTTTTCCAAATATTGTGTTTATTTAGAGATGTTAATCTTAATAGACTCATTTCGCCGGAAGTATAAGACAAATTATAGATATATTGGGCTCAATAGCATTTTTAGAAACGACCATCAATAATACTCTAATCTCTTTCTGTTCGCTTGGTTAAGAACGAAATTAGTCCAATTTTTTGATGCTACATAAGTTATTATATAAAATATTTTTTCTGCACTTAGAAAAAGACTACATATAAATAAAGAAAATAAACTAATAATTAATTTTAACAAATTTCTTTAATTATATGGAGAGTGTCACGATTATCGCGGAGACGCACGTGGTGAGCTTTATATTATTCTAGAGGATTATAAACCTCCAGAGAAGACCCACAAAATCAATAGGTATAAAATATTAGGCACGCCTATTTGGTCCAGTAAAATGGAAGGCGCGCGGAATTGAACTTCAGAAGATACTGTGAGTAATAACAAAACAACGGCCACGAACACCTGAGATTAGTCTTCTGTAACAAATCGGAGGGAGTGACCAATTCAGGTGAACATAACCCACTTAAAAGTTACGTGCTCTCACTCTCACGCCGGAATGATTTCCCCCGAGCGTTTGACTTTGTGCGTCCAATAATATTTTGCGTCGCCATCAATATGCGGTCCCAATGCCCATCCAATCTTTCCCTTTCTCAACTGCTGCTTAGAAAATTCAACATTGCATCATTTTCATTTTATAGGGAGTTTGCTCAACATCCTAATTAAGATCACACAAAGAGTTACAGTCTCCGCCCACACTATATTCTCTTGTGCGTCCGTCCCTCTCACCTTCGATTCTGTCTTCAAGTTCTAACAGTCAGATCCTCCGGCGAAGATCTGTCTCTTTTCTTGGAAGTAATGATCTCATTTTTGCAAGTTTTTATGCGTGCTCGTTCTCAATTGTCTTATTTGGTCTTTTCTTCGCCTAATAAGGCTCTCTAGACCGTGTGTAAACAGACTCCATTTTTTGTGAGGGACACAAATATCGGAGTAAGTCTGGAAAGAGTTCCTTTTAAAGGTAAAGAGCACCAGTAAACACACATGCCAATCTTGTTCTGTGTCTTAATGAGAGGAAATTCCATTTTTTTGGGCGGGCCGTATTTTCCAGGTATGCGAGAAAGCCGGTCTTGACTTCTGTGTTTTTATCCAGCGGGTGACCAAAAATCCATTAGCGTCAATAATTAGCCCTATACCACACCATGTAGGGCATCGTAAGGAAGCACGCAGCTGCATCTCCTTGTAAGTGTCTGCGACTAAATGAGGGAGTTCCGTGCGAAAGCCGATAATTCATTCTCTGGTTAACTCGGGCTTCTCGGTCTGCAACCGCCCCTCTCTATTTCACAAACCGCACATGCATATAGAGAGGGTGGATGGTGTTATTTGAGGGTTCTTTATGGTCAAATCGGGCCTTTTTCAAAATTCCTTATGCATCATCGGCTTTGCTCATAACGCTTCAATTTAAAGATTTACTCTGGTAAAATCTTTCCAAGTGACTCATAACTTTTTAATTTCGTCGCCAAATTTCTGGTTTTTGCCTCAATTCTTGATTAGTTTTTTTTTTTGTAAATATGCCGAAATATTTTTCTTTCTCATCGGGGTAATTGGCAATGGTTAGGTCTACGATTAGGTTATCTGAAGCTCCAAAGATAAGTTCTGATTCTTCTCTCGTACTGGGTTAGGTATTTCCAACTAGTCCATTTATTGGTATTAGGACCTTATTAATATGAATTTCCTTAATTGAGGTTACAGACATTGTATGGGGGAGAACATTTGTAAAATACATTTTTAATTTAAATTAGGAGGCGATTCCGAGCCGCTGATTACATCAGTGTGTGGCTCTCGCAAGAATGGATATAGTGAAGGAGCAGAAATTATCTCTCCCTCAGCGTGTCGTAGGAAAGCCGTGAGTGAATCCACATGCTTGAGCTCCATGCACGAAGCAAAGAAAATGCAAATTACTTTGAGCTTTGAGCTCTTAGGTTTCTTCCCTTTCTTTGTGGGATAATGAGTAGTCCCCTATATTTGTGTCCTTCTAATATCTAGGTGATTGACTTATAGGCGTGTTGTGTAGGAGGTTTCTTTGATGTGGATACGAAGATACAGGTAATGAGGGTTTATCCATAAAGAGGGCTTACATGCTCAGTTTGCATTGTTCAATTTAAGGGAAATTCTGGCAAAAGTCGGTCACCAATATATGCATAAATATATATATGTTATGTCGGCATAAAAATTAACGGGGTTTGAGCGCCCTAAAGAAGCTAAGTAAATAAATCTTATTAAATTATTTACGTTAATAGTTTATTGTGTTAGTTCTCTTTAGCTTATGGTACTGGGCATGAATATGTGGTATTATTCTTTTTAGTCTCCTATTCCGGGAAGTTCCATTTTTATTTACTTAGTTTAGCCCAAATATCTCTCTTTCTGTTTCGTCTCATATGAAGAAACGCATTAATCGAGAATGAGCCATGTGGGGTAAGAGGTTGGTCTCAGATAACTCTCAGAATCTGATAAATTCTTTGGTTAGGAATTTAATACAATATTAAGCGATGGGCATTTTATTCAATTGGCCCAGACACTATTCAGTTTTCTCCTTAGATAGGCAAGCCATGACTTTTGGTCATCTTAAGCTGAACTATACATGATTGGCTTTTTCTTAATAATTAGTGTGTATATATATATATATATATATATATACAAGCATTTGATATTTTTTTTGAAAGAATGTATTTATAGTTTTGTTGGACTATATACATTTTTTTTCCCATAGAATTAAGCCCATTTTTTAAGATTCACTTACTTTGATTAGAGTGGATATTTGAAACAAATGATTCATAATTTAAGGTCAAAGCTTGGTTAATATTGTTATACTTATTTCAAATGGATTATTAAATATAATTTGGTTGATTTAAACTTTAAATAGTTTGAATTTTAAACTTTATGTTAGAATTTGTTTGTATCTGGAAAATAACTTACACGTGGAAAGTATTTTATATGGAAATTGTTTTTCTTGAAAAATATTTTCAAAATCTTATTTTCTATTGTTTAGTTGTAATATTGAAAAATATAAGCTATTAAAATATTAATGATAATAGAAATTCTGTATTCTAAAAAATTTATTATTAAATATAACTAATAAAAAAAAAAGAAAAGTAAATTACGAAAGTTTCTAATTACGGTGGTGGTGGACGGTGGGTAGGAATTTTCTCTTTTGGCTGTATATTATGGCTAGCTTCGCTTCCTTGGTTTTATGATTTAGTGTAGTAAATTTTTGAGTGGGATGTAGTTTTTTTTTTAATTATGTAAAAATAAATAAATAAGCAACTCCCACTTCTAGATGACAAACCATTGAGTCCCACATATAAATAGAACTCTCCTTTTCTTAGTCAACTCCAGCATGGTACGTCTTCGTTCAAAACTTCAAAATCCAAAAGTGGGAAACACTAACGGACCCGGGCTTATCCAAGTACCCGCAAAAAGTATTTGAACATAATCCAAAAATAAAACCCATGCCACAGAATCATCTATTTATTAAAACTTTTAAACAAAACTAAAATAATTTTTCCTCGTAAAAATTATTGTAGGAAAAAAAATCATTTGGTGGTTTTCAATATTGTGTTATTTAGAGATGTTAAATAATAGACTCTTTGCAATTTAATAAAAGAATATTATACAAGACAATATACTTAATGAGATATTGTATTTCTAATAGATTATAAAATTTTTTGCGAAAAACTATAAAGATAAATTTAATTAAAAAATTCAATAAAATTTAAAGGAGATGGATTATATTATTCTAGAAGGATGAAAACTAATAGACAAAAATATTAGGTAGAAAATAGGGGAAATCAGATATGAAAAACAAAAGCGAAATATGTGAACAAATGGAGGAGTAAATAGTAAAATAAAAGTCGTCTCCCGCATTCCCCCGACGGCTTTTCCAAATTTTCCCCTCAGTCCACCTTCTCCTTTCTCTCTCTAAAAAACACACATTTTTGTCTCTCTCTAGATCACAGCAGTCTCCTTCTCTTTCTCTCTCTATCGATTCTGCTTCAAGTTCTACAGTCAGATCTCCGGCGAAGATCTGTCTCTTTTTAGATCTCATTATCTCTGTTTTTGCTTTTGGTTCCCAAACTTAGACGGAAGATTTGGAAAATTCGGAGCTGGAAGAGAAGGTAAGCGAACCTCTCTTGCTGGATCTGAGAGGAAATGGCGCTTTCAGGTATGAGAGGTCTATCTGTGTTTATCAGTGACATTCGCAATTGCCCTAACAAAGAGCAGGAGAGGCTTCGTGTTGATAAAGAGCTCGGCAATATCCGTACTCGCTTCAAACACGAGAAGGTTAGGGCTTTCATTTCTCTCTTTAACTCTGTTTTCGGCTTTTCTTTTTCTCTTTTTTCATTTTGATTAGTTTTTTTGTAAATATGCCGATATTTTCTTTATGGTTTTGATCTCAAGGACGATGAAGCTGGTTCCATGGCTTATTTATCTATTTATTTATATTTATGATATGGGTCGTTGGAGAATTTTTAAAATTAAGGGAAATAGTTTTTCGGTGAAGCAGAATTTCCCTCACTCAACTGAGCTCATGCAAGCAAGAAACTTGAGCTTTGAGCTCTTTTTCCTTTTTTGGATAATTAGTGTTTTTCTAATGTAGCTTAGCGTGGAGTCTGTGAAAGGAAAGAGTTTACATAAGCTAAGCTGATGCAACTGAGTGGCATATGTATTAATGTTATTATATTAGGAGGCTAAAGAGAAGTAATAAATCTTATTAAATTAATTTACGTTAATAGTTTATTGTGTTAGTTCTCTTTAGCTTATGGTACTGGGCATGAATATGTGGTATTATTCTTTTTAGTCTCTATTTTCTATTACTTTGCAATGGACGCATTATCGAGAATGAGCCATGTGGGGTAGAGGTTGGTCTCAGATTTAGGACTGAAAACTTAAATTTACATTTAAGCGATGGGCATTTTATTCATTGGCCCAGACACTATTCCAGTTTTCTTCTTAGATAGGCAAGCAATGACTTTTGGTCATCTTAAGCTGACTATACATATTGCTTTTTCTTATTTTTGTTCATCATTGAGACTGATGCATTTAGATTTGTCTACCACTTTTGCCATCAACTTTCACTTCCTAAACATCATTAAACTGCTTGGAAGGATTTCCAGTGGCTTAGTTTATGAAATGAAGTTGGTTTATTTTTAAAACAGCATCTACATAGTTTATGCTTGGGCTCTATTAAAATATCATGATGGTTATGTGGTAACTCTCCTTACATATGTGAGGATGTTTTTAAGTGTTGATGCCCCATAGGTATACTCTGACTGATTATAGTTTTAAGGTCTACTTGGAGAAATTTTGAGTTAGAGGAATTGGTGTGGCTTCAACACTTTGGTTGAAGTTTTTTTTCTTGCACTTGAAGATATTGACTTTTTGTGAAATCTTTTGCATCAGTGCATCCCCCGTTGATGTTTGTTCTCAGGATTTGCTTTGGTCATTTGTATGTGATGTCTTTGAAATCAAGTTTGCTTGCTGCTGCATGACAGATGCTTCTTCTTCCAGTAGATTAGCAAAGTACAGTGATAAGGGAGGACAGAGAGCCTGTAGAGATAGAATTCTCCTAGCTCATTCTGAGTTAACATGGAAATTAACTTAAGTTTTAGCTATGAACAAAGCAGTATGGATACAATAGATTCATATAGCCAACCCAACTAGTCTGAGTTAAGGCTTAGTATGGATATATAGATTCAGATTTTGATTGGCTTAAGATAATTGAAGAATTAAGTGGCAGTGAGGTGGACATGTTTTGAATAGACTAAGAAGACTGTTAACTAAGCCTTGATCTTGCTCCTGCTGCTATGCCTCAACACATTCATGTGTTCACTGGTAACTGTTACTCCATGCGAATGTGTGTGACCGTGTGCCCTTAATTCTTTGTACATTACAAGTCTAATCTCTAATGGCTTAACTGGGATAGCCTTGCACAACTTTGCTTTTTGAGAAGTCTATTCTTGTGGTTTTGGACTGGCACGTATCTTATTTTTTCTGGTGCTTTTTCGAACTTTCTTTACTTTTTCGATTTAGAGGAAGAACTTTCGTTCTTTTTCCCTTTTTAGTTCCTTGTTGTTTGGACTTTTTATTTTCCAAGTAGATTTGTTCTTTATAAAAAAGATTGTCAGATAAAAAAAGTAATTTCATGTTGTCTAAAATAAATAATCTATGGGAGTTCTGGGCTGAAGATATCCTTGCAAGGTACAAGCTGATTCTTATCAGTCTTAAGCTCTGTGAAAACTGGTGCCTTTAATCATTCCGCACTTTGATTGTGAGGCAGCCTTTTCAAACTTCTTTACTCAGCAATCTCAGCACTCAAAATCTATACCAAGAGGGACTATTTGCATACTTTTATCTTTACAATATTTGTTAACACATATAAGAGAAATAAGGAGTTGTACTTTATAATTGTACCACTCAAGAATCTGACTCTATTTATACAAGTAAAGCTAAAGCTATTCTATGATATAAAATGATTTTATGTTGTAAAACAGGTAATGTAATGTGTATTACAAAGTTGACTCGGATAATCTCACAATCTTTATGTATTTTATGTAATTGATATCTAATTCAGAATAAAAACAAGTTAGGTATTAAAGACCAAAAATGATTAAACAATAATCAATTGTTCTTTCCTTTTTTATTCCTTTATTTTTCTTGGGTTTTCTTCTCTCCCTCACGTGATTAGCTTTGCTCTTCTGGTTTAGTTAGCTAGGTGTTTCATTTTGTTGCAGCCTCCTTGCCTCAATGTTAGCTTATATTAATTTTATTTTGTATTTTTTGCTAATGAAGCTTCCTAGTAATTTATAGACACAATTTAAACATTAATATTCTTTATTCTATCTCTTACTTTCTCTTCATATGACCCCTATGTAACAAATTTAATTCAGGGAGCAATTGTTCATGTAAATTTTTTGTTTGTTTTTCAAACAGGGTTTGAGTCCTTATGAGAAGAAGAAATATGTTTGGAAAATGCTTTATATTTATATGCTGGGTTATGATGTAGATTTTGGTCACATGGAAGCTGTTTCCTTAATATCTGCACCGAAATACCCAGAAAAGCAGGTAACTTCCTCTATGGGTTTTATGAAATCTAAAAATTTGGGATCATTTACCTGGCTATTAATTGGCTCTTAGGAGTTTGGTTGTTGCGGATGATTGTTATAACCTTGCTTTGCAATAATCATTATACGCTGCATGTCACAATTATTTTCTAGATGCACTAATACATAGGAAACATTATCCTAGATGTGAAGAAGTGGAATATTCAATTCCAGCAAGAGTTCATTTCTCTTGCTGCGAACGGTTAATGCTTAGATATTCTAATGTATTCCAAATTAAGATGAGTTTGCTACTTAATTTACTTATATCCTGCTGTGGTTGCAGGTTGGCTATATAGTGACATCATGTTTGCTCAATGAGAATCATGATTTTCTGAGGTTGGCAATAAATACTGTACGCAATGACATTATTGGTCGAAATGAAACATTTCAGTGCCTGGCATTGACTATGGTATGCAACTGGAAACCATTTCTTGCTTTGGTACCTGTTTACTTTTTGTTTTCGACTCACTTAAATCTTATTAGAAAGGAGTACTATCCTGACTTTTGGTTGCCATGTTTCCGTTTTCCTATAAGAAAAGGATTGTGTCAGTTCTTAATTAGGGGGTTTGTGACAAGTACCTTTTATAATCTGGGATACCATCACCTATGTCGGTTGTCATCCTTAGGGTTTTCTTATTAACGACACCCTTGTCATTACCTGTATACTTAAAGCTTGAATGTAGATAATATTCCACAAAAGGGGTATGGAGGGTAGGGGATGTTGGATTTTTTTTTTTTTTTAATCTCGAACAAAAGCTGGAGAATTTATCTATCAGTGAATGGACTTGGAAGCTGCAAGAACTTGCATTATGGTGTTCAAATTTTGTTTTGGATGAAATTAGACCAACAAAGGGCTAGAGAGAGATTAAACTTATCTGAGGAGCCAACTAAAATGATTTTAATGCCTTAAAGTTAATAAGGAATTTGAGATTAATAATGACATAAGATATTTACATTTTGGCAATTAATGCTATTCCTTGGATACAAAAGAAACACTTGATATTTGCTTATTCTAGTTCTTAAGATACGGTAGTTTCATTATTATTATTATTATATTTTTTTTTTTTTTTGTGTGTTATTGTAGCATTTTGTATACCTTACAATCTGTATTCAAAATACTGAGATTCCTACCTCATGCACAAATGTTATGATTTCTACTTTGTAGGTCGGGAATATTGGTGGCAGAGAATTTGCTGAATCATTAGCAGCAGATGTTCAAAAGTTACTTGTAAGAGAGGACATAAGTTTGTGTTTAACTGGCTTATATTAAAGATAATTGATTTGATGCTCTACCCTTCTTTCTGCTGTTTTGGTTACAGATTTCTAGCAGCTGTAGACCACTTGTGAGAAAAAAGGCTGCATTATGTCTGCTGCGCTTGTATAGGAAAAATCCTGATGTTGTCAATGTAGATGGCTGGTATGCTTGAACTGTATGCACTAGAGTGTTTTCTAAAATTTATCCATTTGCCTGTGTCAATCTGAACTGTCTCTTTACAAATGTTTCAGGGCGGATCGGATGGCTCAACTGTTAGATGAACGTGATCTTGGTGTTTTGACATCTTCTATGAGCCTTCTTGTTGCTTTAGTATCCAATAACCATGAAGCATACTGGAGTTGTCTCCCAAAGTGTGTTAGGATATTGGAGCGACTTGCTAGGAACCAAGATATTCCCCAAGAGTACACTTACTATGGAATTCCGTCTCCTTGGCTTCAGGTCTGTTTCTCCTCTTTCATGTTCTTTTCTTTTTTCAAGGCAAAATAATTTTCCAATGGAACTTTTTGTTGTTCATGAGATCAAGTTCAGCCCTAGTCCTATTTCTTTTGGGTAGAAAAATCATTTTTTTGTTATTAATCGTTAACTTTTTCCAATAGCAATTTATTGTCTTCTCATGTTATTTCTTGGGACACAGGTTAAGACAATGAGGGCCCTTCAGTATTTTCCAACTATCGAAGATCCTAATATAAGAAGATCATTGTTTGAGGTTCAACTTTTCTCAACGAGTTTATTTAGATATTTCTCTGAGATTTCTGATTCTTATAAAACCTTCATAATTTCAGGTCTTGCAACGGATACTAATGGGAACTGATGTGGTAAAAAATGTAAATAAGAACAATGCAGCACATGCTGTTCTCTTTGAAGCACTTGCTCTTGTAAGTATATTGCAAACAAGCATTTTAGCATGTGAAATATGTTTTGTGAAATACTGTTCATATTTTATTGATCTTGTATTATTTCGATTAAGACAAGTTTTTAAATATCTTAAGAGGCTTGTCGGATTGACCTGTGGGGTTTTGTTGGAAACTACATCGTATTGGCTGGACTTGTTGAAATCAACAATATGTTCCCTAAAGTTTAATAAATATTACATTTTAGCTCATTTGCAAGCTAAATCTCATTTATCATGATTTGAGAGTTTCGTTTATGGGGAAAGTAACATTTTTGTTTTGTGATGTAATTATTCAATATCCACATAAACATACAATTCTTACTCTTTAAATAATATATTTATTTATATTTGAATGTTTTTAGTAACTTGGTTCTCTCTATTAAGAAAGATGAGGTTTTTAAGGGGCATAGTCTTATTTCCCATGAGTTGGTGATTTTAATCATTGTTTAGCTTTTTGATATCTTCTGTGTGCCATGAGTTTCTACAATATAGATGGCAAATGTGTTTACTTTAATTGCACCCCCCCTATTTCATTCAACAAGTTATTTTTTCTTCAAACAGCTTTCATTGAAATAAAGCTCTCTTATTTCGATTTTCTAAGGGCTTGGTTTTTTCCTATTGCAGGTCATGCATCTTGATGCTGAAAAAGAAATGATGTCGCAATGTGTTGCACTGCTTGGGAAGTTTATTGCTGTGCGTGAACCAAATATCCGATATCTTGGCTTGGTAAGCTGTGGAATTACTACAATTCTCTTTAATTTCTTGTATCAATTCAAAATTTTACATGTAATTGGTCTTTGTATTCTTAACATGGCTGTATGATTGGGCATTACATTGCTTTATTGCTCTGTAACAGGAGAATATGACTCGCATGTTGATGGTTACGGATGTGCAAGATATCATTAAAAGACACCAGGCTCAAATCATCACCTCACTGAAAGATCCTGATATCAGGTTGAACTTGAGTGTGCTGCACTGTTTGAAAATCTCAATAGTTCTGATGTTGTATTCAGTATAATATTTGGGGCACTAGTAAAATCTTTTCTTCTAAAGTTCCTTAGATATTCTTTTCTTGTAAAGTCTTTTAAGGGAGGACGTCTTTGAACCTACATGTAGGTCAGATTATGCACTATGTATCCAATGTATCATTTTTCCAGTGATAAAATACTGAATATGGACCTTGAAACCATACTGCCACATTATTTGATTTCTAGGTCAAACATATGTTCATTTTTTGTGTATGTTGACTTCAATTTTACTCTCCAGCATTCGACGGCGTGCTCTTGATTTACTTTATGGTATGTGTGATGTTTCAAATGCAAAGGACATAGTGGAAGAACTGTTGCAGGTACAATTGGGTTTTGTGAATTAATTGTTCTACGTGAAATCACTCTATTTTTTGAAATGGTGTACTTGATTTTTGCCCCACCCACTGATTGATCTTGATTTTTTTCTTATACTTAGTATCTAAGCTCAGCAGATTTTGCAATGCGTGAAGAATTGTCTCTTAAAGCTGCTATTCTTGCAGAGAAGTTCGCCCCTGATTTATCTTGGTAAGGACATCTTGCTGTTGCTGTTGCATTAAGGTTTTTAGTTACAATGTGACTTCTCTAAAACCGGTCAAGATTGCCAGTTTACCATGAGCAGATTCCTTTTCTTAATAAATGGAAGTCTATTAATGAAAACACCAAAAGGTTTGTTGCAACTGTGCACTAAGAGTATACTCTTTTAAGGAGCTCCAAAATAAGGAGAAGCTATTCTCAAACTTCATAAAAGAAAAACTATAAGGACTAAATAATTCTGTAAAGAATAATGACTCACTGGTAGCTTGGCCAAATAATAACTTACCAGACAGAAACAACCAAAATTGGAAAGGCTTTTGTTGGGACTAAATCATATTCAGTATTTGAGTAATTCCTCTGGATATACAAGTATTAGTACCTTGAATTGCAAACCTTGCTTTCCAAAATTTTAAGTTAACTATTGCTGTTGCATTGATTGCTTGCACAATGTTTAATTCTGTGCATATGATTTTATTTATCTTAAATACAGGTATGTGGATGTGATCCTACAGTTAATTGACAAAGCAGGAGATTTCGTTAGTGACGACATATGGTTTCGTGTTGTGCAATTTGTTACAAACAACGAGGACCTACAGGTAATCAAAATCATTGTAGAACAAACATCTATTCATTTAAAGAATTATGAACTGAAATTTAAAATATTTTATCAGCCTTATGCAGCAGCAAAAGCCAGGGAGTATCTTGAAAAGCCTGCCATACATGAAACAATGGTCAAGGTACATAGTGGAGTGTAAAAACATTTGATGTAATCAATAACAGTGGTACAGGAAGAGGGGTTTGAATTCTGACAAATTTATTTTATTATATTAATGAAACAGGTCAGTGCTCATCTCCTTGGAGAGTTCAGCCACCTTTTGGCCAGACGACCTGGTTGTAGTCCTAAGGAAATATTTATGATGATACATGAGAAGCTTCCTACTGTATCGTAAGACACAAAGATTGCTGTTCCTATTACTATAGTATTTTGCTTCGTTCAACAGTTGCAACTTAGAGTTATAAATGTGTCTGCAGAACATCTACCATTCCAATTCTTCTTTCAACATATGCTAAAATCTTAATGCACACTCAGCCTCCTGACCAGGAACTGCAAAACCAAATCTGGGCAATATTTAACAAGTGAGAAAACCATGTTTCTCATCTTCTATTTTCAGGCTAGTGTTTCATCTTTTATTTTTGGACATTAACACATTTTTATATCTCATAGATATGAGAGCTGCATTGATGTTGAAATACAACAACGAGCAATCGAGTATTTTGCATTAAGTAGGAAAGGTGCAGCTCTAGTGGACATATTGGCTGAAATGCCTAAATTCCCTGAGCGACAGGTAATTCATTGCAACTCACAGTATTAGTTCTGTGAGAAGCTTACTTCTCTGCTGTTACAGATCTGAGAACTTCTTAATGATTTTGATTAAGTAAATCAGTTGCACGCTCTTGGCTCTGAACTGGTTTTATCGCTTTGAATGTAGTCTGCACTGATTAGAAGAGCTGAAGACACAGAAGTTGATACTGCAGAACAAAGTGCTATTAAGTTGCGGGCCCAGCAACATATGTCAAATGCTCTGGTTGTGACTGACCAACGCCCTGCAAATGGGCCACCACAGATTGTTGGCCCGCTTAGTATTGTCAAAGTGCCCAACATGAGTGGAGATGTGGTTAGATCTTATCTCTTTATGTGAATGCTTGATTTCTTCCTTGTTTATTTTTCCTTTGGAGTTTCTAGTACAATCTTTTTTTTTTTTTTTTACTTATTTGGGAATTTCTGTATTTTTTTCAGGACCATACTTCAGCTGAACAGGGATTAACCCAGGCAAATGGAACTCTGAGCAAGGTAGATCCTCAACCTTTCTCACCAGATCTTCTTGGTGATCTTTTGGGCCCCCTGGCTATTGAAGGCCCTCCTGGAGCTGCAGTTCAATCTGATCAAAATGCAGTCTCTGGACTGGAAGGTGTTCCAAGTGTAGTGGATACTAATGCTATCGTTCCTGTTGGAGAGCAAGCAAATTCTGTTCAGGTACTTTTTCAGCAAGTTCTATACTGTACTTTTGCTCCTTCGATTGAAGATGTGAGTGGAAGTTGGAAGGTTTAGTATCTCTTCTATGCCTTTACATAGTTGGGAGAGAGAATGGGGCCTTTGCTATCTTAAATCTAGTCTTTGATCATGCCCCTCTTCTTTTTCGCTCCCTTCCTAAAATTTCCATAATATTTTTCTATACTATTCTTGGCTCTATGAATGCACTCTCTTTTCTGTCCTTTTTCTTTTCTGAAGTTTCAAGAGTCTATCACATAAGTTATTTATTGTTAATTTTTCCACATGTATTTTAAGTCCAAAAGTGTTTATCATGCTCTTTTGATCCTCTTCAATTAAAATTCAATGGATGTGCAATTGTCCCCATAGCTAACTACCGTATTAACCTAACTCATTTGTGTTATGGAGATGTTCATAACTCCATAGCAAATACGTTCTCACTTCTGGCTAGCTAACTATGTTCACCTTCATTGCAGCCAATAGGGAATACCAGTGAAAGATTTTATGCTTTATGCTTAAAAGATAGTGGTGTCTTATATGAGGATCCGTACATTCAGGTACAGATTTTTTATTCTAATATCTCATATGTTACTACAGTTCATTTATGATTAATATCTTCTTTCATGTTTTATCCACCACTTCCTGTCGTTAATTGGCCTTGCAATTTTTCTAAAATCTTGCAAATATTTTGCAGATCGGTATAAAAGCGGAGTGGCGGGCACAACACGGCCGTCTTGTTCTTTTCTTGGGAAACAAAAATACTTCTCCACTTGATTCAGTTCAAGCTCTAATATTGCCTCCTGCCCATTTAAAAATGGAGCTTTCGTTAGTACCTGAAACAATTCCTCCACGGGCACAGGTTAATAAGCTTATGGTTAATCATTGGTTGCTGACATCCGTATTGGCTTTAATCTTGTCTCCCCCTATTCATCAGTTGCTTGTTTCGTGATAGGTACAATGTCCACTTGAAGTTTTGAATCTCCGGCCAAGCAGGGATGTTGCTGTTCTTGACTTCTCCTACAAGTTTGTTACCAACATGGTAATTAATTAGATGATTATCTTCTGCTCATCGTCACTAATCTTTAGGAAGTTAAGCAACATTCTTAAATCCAGTTACTTAATTTTTTTTGTCCTTTTATAGATCAATGTCAAGCTTCGCCTTCCAGCAGTCCTGAACAAATTTCTTCAGCCTATATCGGTGTCTGCTGAAGAGTTCTTTCCTCAATGGAGATCACTTTCAGGGCCGCCTCTAAAGCTTCAAGAAGTAGTATGTTCATTATGCTTCATGTTTGGAAAATATGAACTTTTGTTAAATAGAAAAGCCTCATTTTAACCATGTCTGCCTTATATGATGCCATCTCTGTTCTTGTTTGCCCAATGATAGTAGGCATATATGCTATACTATGTTCACCTTCATCTGGCAGCCAAATTAGGGAATACCGAGTCGGGCAAAAGATTTTATTTGCTTATAATTGATTGTTCCCTTAAAACATAGATAGTGGTGGTCTTATATGAGGATCGTACATTCAGGTTCAGATTTTTTTTTCTATAATCTCATATGTTATACAGTTCATTTATTGATTAATATCTTCTTTCATGTTTTTATTTTCCACCACTTTACTTGTCGTTAAATTGGGCCTTGCAATTTTTCTAAAAAATCCTTGCAAATATTTTGCAAAGATCGGTATTAAAGCGGAGTGGCGGGCACAACAACGGCCCGTCTTGTTTCTTTTCTTGGGAAACAAAAATATTCTCTCACTTGATTCAGTTCAAGCTCTAATATTGCCTCCTTGCCCATTTAAAAATGGAGCTTTCGTTAGTACCTTTAAACAATTCCTCCACGTGGCACAGGTTAATAGCTTATGGTTACATCATTGGTTTGCTGACATCCGTATTGGGCTTTTAATTCTTGTCTCCCCCTATTCCATTCAGTTGCTTGTTTTTCGTGATGGTCAATTGTCCACTTGAAGTTTTTGAATCTCCGGCCACCGAGAAGGGCACTTAGTGGTATGGTGGTTGCTGCGAGGTTCTATGGCCCTTAAGACTTCCTATCCTTCACACAGTTCTTGTTTACCACAATGGTAATTATGGTTAGTAATTCAGTTCTTGTTACTCATTCTGACCTCATCGTCACTATATCTTTAGGAAGGGTGTAAGCAACCATCATTCTTAAATCCGCAAGATTAGCGTGGGTCAAATTTATTTTTTGTCCCTTTTATATTTGATCAAATTGTCTTACCTGCCTGCCTCTAAGCAGTCCTGAACAAATTTTTCTTCAAGAGCCTATCCAATCGGTGGTCTGCTTTTGCAAGTAGTTAACTTTCCTCAATGGAGATCACTTCTAAGGGGCCCACTCTCTAAAGGAGCTTAATCATTTCTTATAGCAAGTAGTTGTTCCATCGATTATTTGCTTTCACTGAGTCTTGGGAGAACTATATGGAACTTTTTGTTTAAATAGAAAGCTCATTTTAACAATGCTCTTCTGCAGTGAACTATCGATGCCCCATCCGATCTGTATACTTGGAGGTTTTTGAGTACCCACCCCTAATTGGTGGTAGACCTTGGATGAAGCCTGTATTCTGCACTAAGTAGGCATTATAATATATATAATATAATATAATAATATATATATAATATTTTTTTTTTTAAAAAAAAAAAGGAAATGTAGAGAAGTGGTAATTGTATTAAGATATGGAATAGTTGCGGATTTATTTCTCTTTGGCCACTGTCGGACCCGTTGTAGAACATTTTATTTAAAGTTGTGCTATTCCCAGGGCATTCCTCTTATTAGTAATGGCATAAGGTCTAGAACTTGCCCTTATAGAGTATGATTCCACAAGAACCTAAACACATTTGAGAATGTTCTTAAGGGTTGTATGGGTAACCTTTTATGGGATCTCTTTTGAGACTGGGTCTGGTTAATCGGAGTATATCATAGACTCCTATATTGCAAGGACGGCTGTCTCCAAATTATGTAAACTGCGTTCTTTCATTTAAGGGGGACTAGATTTGGTCAAAAACTAAACTTTAATAAACAATATATTTTAGGATTTGTGAGTCTGCACGGGTTGCGTTATATATTTTTTTTTAAAAAAAAAAGGAATGTAGAATGTAATTGTATTAAGATATGGATAGTTGGTTTTCTTGGACTGGGACCAGTTGGTAGAAACATTTTTTAAAGTTGTGCTATTCAGATTTTATTAGTAGTCAATAATTAATTGGAGTATGATTCACAGACAAAATGAGATGTTAGTTAACATGATTGCTTTTAGAGCTATAATATGGGACCTTATGTAAACTGTCTTTGGCAATGTCAACTCATTTAGGATTGTGAATTGCGGGTTGCGTTGCGATCAACGATCATTATTCTCTGCATTTTTTTTTCCTTTTTGTATTTATGGTTAGGATGTCATAGTTAAGTCCCTCCCCAGCAATCTTAACATAATATTCTCTGTATTTTCTGATATATATTTTTCATTCTTTTTGGCCTATTAATTGTGCAGGTTAGAGGCGTAAGACCACTACCTCTTGTTGAAATGGCAAACTTGTTTAACAGTTTCCGATTGATGATTTGTCCAGGACTTGTAAGCTGCTATTTGTTTTTTCAGTTTTGCCCTCTCTGAGTTACGCCATAGTTTCTCACTGTTTCATTACCCGTTGTAGGATCCAAATCCTAATAATCTGGTTGCAAGTACAACCTTCTACTCAGAGAGTACACGGGCGATGCTTTGCCTGGTAAGATAGATTTTGTTTATTTGGTGCTGCGCTATTATTATTGTTGTGGAATGAGTATTTATATGGGGTATTTTTCAGTGGGCCTGTACAGGGGGCAGAACTAGGTTTGTTGGTAACATTTTTGTAAAGGGAATAATCCTCTTTAGATTTTAGATAATTTTAAAAAAAATTATGAAGTTTGTTATGTGAGTTTTTATCCCTTTATTTTAATTAAAGTCTCATTACTATTCTTTTACCATGATTTCGAAATTAAAAATTTTCATCCAAATTTGCTGCAATTGACAAGTGCAACAATTCATGATAGTCCCTATAATTTTCATTATATTTTAATTATCCGTCATATTTTCATTTCTGTTCCATGGCTGTGATGCAACTCAAACTGGTCTTTGACATCCCCCTTTTATTGCTATGATATTTCAGGCACGCATTGAAACTGATCCAGCAGATAGAACCCAGTTGCGAATGACAGTTGCCTCAGGGGATCCCATTCTAACATTTGAGTACGAATTTAAGATATTTCTGTTCCCGTCCTCCTAACCTGTGACATAACCATTTGTTATGTGTTTCTGACTCTTAAACTTGCAGGCTGAAGGAGTTCATCAAGGAACAATTGGTTAGCATTCCTACGGCACCTCGTGGACCTACAGCACCACCACCAGCACCTTCAGTAGCACAGCCAACTAGTCCAGTGGCACCTTCGACAGATCCTGGGGCCTTGTTGGCTGGTTTGCTGTGACAATCTGGAAGTGATTGATGCGTGAAGATTTGTTCAATATACACTTATAAACGTGATTTATACAGCAGTCCCACCAAAATCGATCCCTCGAGTCAAAGTGGAAGATCAGGAAATTCATTATGCAAGGGCTGGCGGAATTTAAGGGGGAGCTAAATTGTGGTCGGCTTAATTTGTGGAATTCAAGAAAAAGGGGGGGTTGGTCGGGATTTTGAGATTCTTTTGCACAATTGTAATGTGCTTAGTGAGGTTTTTTCTTCTTGGGGTGAGGGTATTTTTTTCTTTAAATTTTCTCCTATCATTTTTCCCCTTTTCCTTTCTTCTTTTCCAGTTTAGCTGGATTGTTTTCTGTACTAAATGACAGCCTTTGTAAGATATTCACATGAAGTAGAATGAGTTGTAATAGTTTGTATTTGATTGTTAATGCAGAATTATGTTTTCAATAAGATCAATTGTAGGGCAATTTATAGTTTTACATTAACCTTTTACTGTTTTATGGTTCTTGGTTTCCCGTAAATGCAGATGTCAGCCGATCCAGCATGGATTAATGATTGATGAAGCAAGAAAATCAAATAGATTGTGCGTTTAGAAGCTGTAGCGACATAAGTTATTTGAATTTTAAAAAAATTAGGCACCGAGTCCAAAAGTGAATTTAATGATTTTAACTTAATAATTTCACCGCGCAAGTCCCCTTTCTAGAAGTAATAAATAATAGTAGCGGCCAAAAGGAATTTGGCCAGGCTCGTCCTATCATTCCTTAAGTTCCACACATTTGAAGAAAGAGCGCTCCACTAAAACAATAAAAAATTTATGCATTTAAACTGATTTCATAAAAAATAAGAGATGGAAATGTGATCTATACATGTAATCAGATAAGCACAACTAAAAAAACCTGCTTATCTCCCATTAAGGGACTAACTCTGAGGTTGTGAAACTATCAAATTTCAGCTGATACCCGTACTTGACATCAGCCAAATCATAACCTGAACAGACCTGAGAAAATAAAAAATGGTCTGAACTTTTCCGAAGGACTGATTCTGCAAGTGGGACAGGACACGCTGTACGTGGGTAACATGGCGTTTTACAAAAGCTTTCCACAGCAACCTCAGTAATGAAGAAACTGGTATATGATACTCTTAGCTCCTAAGTCTTAATAATGCACACAAACAATATTGTGCTGCTTCATCAAAAGAAAACAATCTTAGCTCCTAAGTCTTAAGGTTTAGTTCACCACCTTTTCGATATGAGTTCCTCCAAGCATCATCATTGCCTATAAAGAAAACAGCCAAAATGACCATATCAGCTACCTACTGCCACTCTCGGCAACGACCGCATGTCCAAGTGCCTTGTGCAGATGACAATTCAACCCAAGGAGAACAATGTCGGTGTATCACCAAGTTGCAAATATCGCAAGAAAGGTCAGGGACTGGATCTGAGTGTAAACACATCTTACAAGGCTTTGCATCAATGGTAGCTTCAGGAGCTTTCACTGGCTCCCGTCCATCACCAGATATACTCACTGCAAACTGTTCAGGAAATCCATCCTGTGAAACTGCACAGGATTGATTCCCTGAAGCATCAAATCCATCCACCTGGGCACCATCATCAGATGGCAGCAACTCCGTAAAAGAAAAGTATGTCTGTGGTTCGAATTCCATGTCCTCGTAGTTGAGACTTTCATAATCAAACAGTATGTCACCTTCAAGGCTATTAGCTGAAACATCCCACTCGCCACAAGAAGGCAACTCCTCTTCAGGGAGAAGGTTATTTCCACCAAGAGGTACGGAAGATTCAGCATTATGATTATTCTCGAAGATATTTTCTGTCTTCACTTGAGGCTTTGCATGCCTTCTGACTGGTAGTTTCTGTGGGCCCTGTGCAGTCGCATTCCATTCAAGTTCCGGTCCAGAATTGTCCTCTTTAATTTGCTCAACTCTTGAAAGAGAAAAAAGAAGAGGATCATCATCTTGTATGAATGGTTCTCCCTTAGGAAACATAGGAGTATTTGGATAGTACTCTTTAGATTCAGCAACAGGTCCAGAATCAGAGTCCACTTCTACATTTCCTTTCTTCAACACCCTCTCATGTGACTCGTGGCCCACTGGCTTCTCAACTTCGGGGCAATCATCATAAGGACACTTAGGTGATTTTACTTTACGACACCTGCAGCACTTGAAGCCCACCACATTAGGAAGATTGGACTCATCAAGTTTTACGGCGTCAGCATGAAACCAATCTGCAGGAATCAGAACACAAACAGTTAGTAGAACACAAACTGAAAGTATACAATTTTCATTTGAAAAATGAATATCGCCTATGAGGTGGAGAAGACTTACTTTTGCACTTTTCACAATAAATATACATAAGCTCACGATTATATGGCTTTTTGCAAAGATGACAATCAGGCCTCAATCTCTCTGAACCGCCCTTAAGAAGGATGTTCTTACACCTGAAATCAATTCCTGTGTCTTCAACGTTCTTTTTCTTCCATATCACACCCCAACTACCTACTTTATTTTGCTGTTTTATTTCTGAACTTCTACTGCGGCTTTTTGTTGCCGAACTTCTACTTCGGTTTTTTGTTGCCAAACTAGAAGCAGAAGTAATTTGTTTCGTCTCAGAACTGCTCTCCTGGGTTTTGACAGACATTAATGGTTGAGTGTGAAGTTTAATCCTTGTCGTTTTGTTAACTGTCAGTACATTTTGAGACTCCCGCCTTTGCAAGGGCAAGGGAGTAGTAGGAGAGTCATTACTGTTATCAGGAGTAACAACTTTGGCACTGTAACACTGCTTGCAAGCAATCGAGAATTCAACTTCCTCGTTTGTATAAATTGTCGAGCTCGTTGTACAATGTTTATGGCAATAACCTGGTGTGGCATAAAGAGAAACCTATTAATGCAACCAATAACATAGGACAAAATGAATTAACAAATCATTTGAGACATCCAACTAGTCAACAGTTCAGCTAAGGATATGTCCATATTCATAAAGGAATCACAAGTATCCTCATCTGTTGTAAAATACTGTGGGCAATGCAATGGCAGCATTCTCTTCACCAGATAAAAACTTGTTAAAAGGTGAGAAACCAAAAGAATGTCTCATCTAAAAAGCGAATGACAAAAAGTTGTTTCATTTAAGAAGGTCAAAAGTGAGTTTATTAGGACCAAAACATAATGAGTTAATAACCACATAATTGACTCAAGAAAAGTGAGAACCCAATTGTATCTTCTTCCATATGTCAAGGTACAAAGTAGTGCTTGAGAAATCCTCAGGCCTTCTTGCTAAATTAGCTCTCCATGCATGTGCATAAATTAGAAAGGTGCCTATCTCTTCCCTTAATATAATGTACTTAAATACATCTCCTTTTTCCTTTCCGTTTGACTTGTACAATAAATAGAACAATCACTAGGTGGCAAGCACCATGTGCCGGAAATCTTTTCTCAAACATCATGAGAAGGGAGTGTGTGATGGTAAATTTCCAAACGTGCATTTTAAGCAAAATAAAGAGATAAACGTTGCATATTACAAGGATTGAAAGAGACCTAGTAAGAATGATTGCTCTTTTATATCAAAAACATCATAAATTAGAAGAAATCCCTTTGATGTTCCAAAGAACACTTGAACACCTTAAAGGTTTTAGAAATATAAACATGAAGAGAAAGAATGAGGTGATAAGAATGACAGCTTCTACTAACCTTGGCAAGCACTGCACTTGACCGTATTCCTGAAGATCACCAAAAAAAACAAATAAGCTTAGAGCAAGTGGGTTTGAGAAACACAATGAAAAGTAGAATAAATCAAAACATACCTCAGTAAAACATCATTGTGGCACGATGCACAAGAGCATCTATCCAACTTATCTCTTTTATATGTAAGATATAAAAATACATCCTTGCGGGAAGCTTTCAACTGCCTTCTCTGTAACTCAGATAGTTCATTCAAGGACTTCTTCGCTGATGGCAAAACTATTTCACCAACTCTTTCTTCATACTCTTTGATCAAATATAAAGGAACATGCATTTCAGAAAACCAGTATTTCTCCTTTACATCTTCACCTTGCTCCAGTTCAATTATATTCTTCATGATGCGGGAAGGCAAATGTTTTTGATTGCCAAAAGCAACTCCATACATAATCTTGTTTCCCTCAACTTTCTTACCACAAATGCTTGCATTTCTAAATATAGAGGCTTCTGTCTCTGGACCTTTTCCGTCAAGGAGATTCTGCTCAGGATGAACAAGATCACTCCATCTCACATGAAGGTCTAGGTATCTAACCTGATGCAAATTCCAACAGCATTTTCAAGACATACAATTAGAGACAGTATGCTGAAAAGGGAGGAGGAATAAAACAAAAGATTATTGCTGTTGCAATATATGAAAAATCAAACCAACCTGAAGTGCTAGCTGTGATGTATTCTTACTCTTCTCAACTGCAGCTCTCCAAACCAGCTGTCTGCTTCTTTTAGAAAGCTCAGGATCATCAACGTAATAGACACCAGATATCCTTGTAGAACCACCTGATAAGGCAACACATAACATTGAAAAAATTCTCCTAGATGATAATAATTAATAAATGCAAAGAATGTCATGCACAAAAAAATAAGTGACAATCCCAGAAATGCCTAAAAAGGAGAAAAATGTAGGTTTTCTACTCTTAAACAGAAATCAGTTTGCGAGGGTGTAAAAGATTACCTTGCCGAGCTGCCTTTTTAACCACTGAGCGAGGCAAGATTGCTTTGTGGAATACAAGCTTTAATAGCTTACCCCCTCGCCACCAGATGAAACTTTTATCATCACAACCACCAGCTCTAATGTCAGATATGCCAGATTGTCTTTTATGTCGTTTCCCACCTGGTCCACGTTTCTGTGTGGTTCCACTGGTGCTTACAGCATTTTGAATTACAGGAGAATCAACCAGCCAATCATCCATTGCCTTGGTCCAGTCCCCGGAAAGAGCAACAACACGAATGTTGTGCTCAAGCTGCAAATAAATGTCAGGAGATCACATCAAACAATAAACAGAGCACATCCAAAAAAGTGCAAACATGACTAAAAAAAATTAGAGAAAAAACAATCGGGTTTTGACAGTGCATCTTCCAAAAGGAAAGGTCAGGATAGGAAAAAGAGAGAGAGAGAGAGAGAGAGATATTAAAACACCTTCTGACTTGGAATGCAACATAACATATCATTTAGTATAGATATCACCAACCGATCTTCAATTACGACTTGTTTGGAACAAACACTGATAATATTCACAACAATAAAATTTAAAAAACAAAGTAAAGCACTTGAATTTGAAATGCCATTCAAACGATAGATAAAGATCTTTATTAATTTATTTATTTTGGTTTACTGAGGGTACAGACAACCCCCCATTTTTACCCCACCTAACCCAATAATTCCACTAATTACTGATATTTGGTGGTAGCAAGGACTTGAACTTGAAAAACTCTTTTGATAAAAATATATATTGTACGTTACCAGATTTACTACTAAAGAGGAATCTTGGAAAGGGAATTTTTAACTTAACTACAACATCAATTATGCTCTGAAGATAACAAGAAAGTGGAAGCACTAAGCTAAGCAACAAAGAAATGTTGCATGGAAAGATAAAGAGCCCATTGCAATAGTATCTCTTCATAATACAGTTCTTACTTAAATCACCCTTACGATTATACAAAAGGATGATTACCATCCACGCATAAATTCAGTTCTTACTCTAACATCCATGCATAAATGCAGTTCTTACTCAGTCACCCTTATAAACTGTCTACACTAATGGTAATAATTTTTTTTTTTTTTTCCTTCAAAAGAAGAAAAGAAAGGAAGGGGGAAAAGACTTACCTAAGTGTAAACACCAGCCAACATGAAAATAACATAAAAAAATGAATATAATTATAAAGATATGGATAGCAAAGGAATTTCACAATTTCTGAGTCATTCTAGCATTGGCCTAGTGAATGCTGTGAGGTAATACACCTAGTGTAGGTAAGTTTTTTAACCCAAACATTCAGCTTCTACATTTTTTTCATATAGGAATGTTGTCATAACTATCAAACATACAACAATCACATTTAAAATGCTCTTTGAAATAGGAGGTATCTGAACAAAATAGACAGAAAAGTCCTCAGGAAATTCGAACCAAAAGCCACCTCAGAAGCATTATATTGCAAGACCAAAGTAGTTATAATAGTTGTCATTTGGGGGTAAATGGGAAATTCAGAGTTGAGTTATACTATCTCATGGCATTTATAGTAGGATATTTGGACACCATAAAAAATATTATATCTCTATACTTTATATTTTTTTTAGAACAAAACTTGGATTAAACCCTTACTGTAATCGCATAACTTCCTCGGTAATCAAACCGCATCTTTACTAACCAAGGGGATGAGTCTCCCACTCCACGGCATAAGTATTTTAACCAGACCTCTGCGTATAACTTACATCTGACCCATGCATGTTCGAGAATGGCCTGACACGTTCACATCTGTACGTCAGTCACCTTAGTAAATGAGAATCTTATGTTGTCTACACTTAATTTTAGGTAATTTTATCATAAGGCTTCTTATTTTTTTTTTGCTTGTTTATTTTCATCTATTCACAATAAGAGAATTACTGAAAATATTGTAATATGAGTATATATAAGGAATACCGATGGCTGTTACATTAAATAGTACTGATATGTACTATCATGAACGGATGGTAGTACAGAAAAATGGAGATGGCCAAACTGTAGGTGTGCCCTGTTACATTGCCAGATGGAAGAGAGAATATATAAAAAGCTACACTCAAAATGAGGAAAAGCTACCCTGAAGGACTGATGTCTTCTACAGATGAACTGTTGCAGTTGTAAGGTGACGCTCTCTAGGAACCAGTCTCCAAAAACCTGCGAGTTAACAGATAAACTCGCTTGAGCTATAAGAGCCCGAGTGGAATCTCAAATATCAAGTAACAATAAAGCATACATGAGTTACAAAAGGCCAAGGAAGTTAACCCATGTAAACACATAAGCACAGATAATACACATATCATCTTACTTTCATAATTTATCTGAATGATCATATTCTTGATTTGGGATGGATTTAATGGGTAATGTTCATTAAATTAGTTACGAATTATACTAGGGTTGGGATTGAGAGAAGCGCACATAGGTTTATTCAGGTTAAACCCCATAAAGTGTGACGAACTTAACCAAGGGCCTAAACATTTAGAAATACAATAAACAATATTGTTAAAATGTATTAATATAAAGATATGGATACAATAGCCAATGATAGGGGCATTATAGGCCTTACACGAACCACTTTGGACTTGAGTCAGGATTCCTTAGCAATGCCTACATGTATTTGGAGACCTAACCTAGTGGTGAAGTTATATGCTGTGAATACTGTCCGGCTCATTTTTACACCGTTAGTGTATGCCGGTCCTAAACGTCTTGGTTTGAAACCATTCCCATAGCACATCCTCCAGGCTTCTTAACCATTTTCATATAATTCGGTTTATTATATTATTACATTAATTCACATAACTTCATACTAGGCCTATTATTGTTAAGCCGGTATAATAGTTTTCAAAACCTGATACTGAGGGCGCAGATTCGCCCATGAATTTGTGCTTTATGAGTTCGCTTGACAGTGTGTGAGCAGCTTATGATACAATGGTTTCTTACCGAACCTCAGAGCGTTACATGGCATAAGTGAAAACCTCAGACATGTAATAATACAATAGCAAGAGCTGCTATGCCTGACTTTTGCTTTATAAGTGGTCACTTACATACATCTATAAATCGATCCTCTCGGTTATTATTGCGATATTTCTACAATAATCATATACTCATCTCAAAGATGACTTACTTGTTATTTTAATCATATTTATTCATCTTTCTCTTATAGTTTATCCTAATTGTTTTGTTGTTACCAGAAATTGATTTTGGAATTGCAATAGCAATGGAGAGGAGATGAAACAAGGGGAAATGTCCTCAAAAAAATATATCAATTAAGTCAATAAAAATGGAAAAGAGCGCGCTCAAAAGTGGAAGGTGATTCAAAAGACGTAAATCAGTCTGAGCCAGTGATTATCGAGTCCCGAGATACATTTCCAAGTCATATTTACACTTTAGATAGCGCTTAGAGCTGCTGCTCCCCCAAGCTAGTAAGAGTATAGGTCATAAAACTACTAAGAGCGCGTCTTTAATCCTTTGCCGCTGAGTATATACACACACATGAATGTGCTTGTGTGGGAGGGAGAACAGCATAAATGAGATGTTGCTGACTTCTTAATCATCTTAATGCTCCATGCTAATAATACCACTCAGACATATATTCATCTTCAATACCTATGGCAATAAAGAATGAACAGACCAAATATTAAACTATGAAAAGTAATGAGCCAGATTATCCATATTAACATTATATATAAGCTCCCCACTTAATTAAGAATAAATACTAATCCTGAGGTATTGATTCCTACACACTCCTCAAGTATGTAATCAGTTAATCAAAGACATCATGACTCAAACATGTAGAAATGCAAGATGTAGATCATGACATCTACAAGTGTAGTACATGAATAACGTGGCTAATACGTATGAAGAAGCTCAGCAATGACAATTTGTATGGGCTCCTACTAGCTGGCAAAAAATAACACCCCGCTGATAAGTATGCACTAAAGAAAATGAACTTACTTCAAGCAAGGGGACTTTTATGGCACTGCAAGTTGAAGCATCTTCTACTCGTTTACGCCACTGTTTTCTATAACTTGCGCTAACAAAAGGGCCAACAGTAAGACCACATAAAATCTCCCCCAGGTACAAAATGTAAGTTGAAATGCTAGGAAGACTCCCCTCTCTACTCATTATGGGATGAAAGCTACTAAGGATCTTCATGGTGCCTTTAGTGGCAGTCAATGCAGCTGAGTTTAACATACATCCCCTTCTGCTGTTAGAAGGGACCTTACAAGAGTAACACCAACCACACCTTTCCCTTGGCACCTCTATAAGCTTCTTTTCAGAACTTGGCCAGAAAAACCGGGAGGCTGATGTTGAAAATGCTTTTGCTTGCAACAAAATGTCGGAAATAGCCTTTCTAGCATTGCCTGATTTATGAGCCTCTGAAACTCGAATTTCCTCAGATGAAAGAACAGCCAGATTAGCAGCAGCTGATGCTGCAAAATCCCCATGTACATAGTGATTTATGTAAGCATAAGGCTTAAAGCACGTCCCCATATACACAAAATTATCTGTCAAATTTCTCTCAATCCTTCCAAAGCCAGCACGATTGCCTTCCTTGCTTTGAGAGAATATACTTGCTGGTAAATTAGCATTCACATCCCCAGCATGACTGCCGTCACTGTTTGTAGAGGTGCAAGTAGTTATCACACTTGATCTATCCATAAAGCTATTTTGAGCTAAATCTGACGGATCAATCTGCTGGTTAAATGAATCAGCAGACTTGACTTTTATCTGCTGAGGTAGTTTCATATTAATGAGATCACAATTTTTCATGTGTGTCACATCACCATTACTCAGGATGCCATGAGCGTCAGCTTGAAATGTTGCATTGACAGAGGTACCAAGACATGAGACTGCCACTTTATCTGCATCACTTATATTTGAACTAAGCTCATTCTCAGCCTTAACAGTATTTTCAACCTTATGGCTAGCCTTGAAAGTAAATGAAACTGATAAAGTAGAAGATTTTTCATCTTCATTTGTAGATGCTCTACTCAAACCTCCACCCATTGTCTCAAAAGGAGAGAAGGCACTTTGTGGAATTCTCCAATATTCTGCAATTGCTTTAGATATCTCCAAGTATAAGGATCTATGTTGCACAGAAGAGGAAAGTACCTGCAAGAACTTTGGAATATCCTTCTGATTGTAGTATCTCAAATATGGTTCTGCGCCGACAGAAGCTTTAAGCCTGAGAAAATGCAAAAGCAGAGAAAATTAATAGCATCCAGATATACACTAAAAAACAAGGAGAAAATGACAATAATTCCATGAATAATAATAGCATTAACGATGATATATGTTTCAAAAATTTTTGTACTTTTAATTAACTTTTAAAAGAAACACTGAAAGAGAAGGAAAAAGCATACACCAGTAGGTGATTGCAAGTACCCAGGAAGACCTGCCCATATATGTCGACACCAAATATTTCTGCTCCTCTAAGTGAAGTTCCCACAATAACAGTAGGACCCAACTTGTTAATTGTGCACTCTGGACAGTACCATGGCCCTTCTGGTATATACATTTTGACAACACCTATACATCTGGAATGATATGCTGATGGGCAACCATCACAACAAAGTAAAGTCCCATCCATGCCACAAAGCCGGCATTCATCACTATTCCCATCAACTCCAACACTAGCAGCATCTCTCTCCTCTTCAGAACATTGGGAACCCAAGTATTTTAAATCACATGAAGACTTATTTCCATGGTTTTGAGTAATAATCTCCATAGCCTCCCTGTCCTTACATGCTGAAGTCTTGGAATATCTGGGATGGACCCTTCTCGGTCCATTTTCAGGAAAATTGGTGGCCACAGCATCAGGATCTATTCCAACTTCTGATTCTTCCCGCATATCAATTTCTGTTCGTATCTCAGCACAATCCAGAACATCATCACACAGAATTTGCAGAATTGTCAACTTCCTGGTCACAGGTAAGGAATAATATTCCCTCTTCAAAAAATCATCACAAAATCCCTTCCACTCTGGTCCCTTTGAATATCCCATTATTGTGAAATAATGGACCAAATAAACAGGCCAGGTGACTGAATCGAGCAAGCCCCAATCAATGCTCCTACAGCATAATACTAATATTAACTGGAAAATATTTTAAAAAATAACCCAGAGTAAACAGATATAAATTAGTATGTGCCCATACAGCACAAACACAGGCATAAGATGCCCATTTACAAACTCTAGCATAAAAATGATACATAGTGATTACCTCAAGCATTTTGATGCAAGCTCTGAACCATCTGAGGAGAGGGTCTCAAGGTGACGTCTCAATGCACGCATCAAAGAAACATGAATGGCATCCATCAGTGTGTTCTGAACTTGACAATTAATTGCCCCAACTAAATCATCCAGCGTAAATGGACTCAAGAAAAGGCGGATATTAAATGACCTCAAGAATCCATAGACTGAGAAAAGATGTGAAACGTACTCCTCTGGCACACCTACAGTCCCTGACGACATAGGCAATGGCAAAGGAGGCACAATTGGGACCTCTGCCTCAGGCTCCAAATCATCATCTTGCGAATTCTCACATGAAACACTTGAGGAATCTGCATCACCCACATCCTGTACCCCACTATCCTCAACTGCTACTTCACCACTCAGTTCTGTCAATGCAGATGTTTCAACCCTATCAACCTCAGTTTTAGAATCAGCCACTTCCTTCCCCAAATCCTTCTTATTCTTTGAAATCTTTTCTAACACTAATTGATCTAATCTCTTCCTCCTTTCAGTCAAATCATCATCAAAATAGTCATCGCCTAAAATTATATCACGTAGCTCACTGCTCTCCAAATCCTCACAATCTCCATCCTCGTAATCTACCCTATATAACCCACTATCATAGTACACTATTTTCCCCAAATAAACGCCATTACTATTAAATTCTTTCAGCACATATCTACCCACAAGTGGCTTCCATCTCATTTCCAAAAATTGCTTCTTAACAGCAAAACCCACCTTTTTATCAATTTCATCCTCTTCTCGCCACCGTTTCCTTGGTCGACCTCGACCTCTCTTTTTGACCTCCGTTGGCTCCATTATATAACCCAAAGCTCAAATTAGATCGAACTCAGAATTCAAAACTCAAACGAAAACAATCCTAGAGTTCCAAAAGTACAAAATCCCGAATTCTGATTTACCCCTGAGATTTCTACACCAGATTCCCACCCGCAACAGATCTATCGCTGATCCAGATCCCTACAAAACAAAATAAAACAAAAAACAAAAAAAAAAAATTTAATAGTTGCAATTGATGATTTTTTAAAAACGAAAATTCAAGACAAAAATTATACAATATAAAGGAAATTACGTCTTTTGCAGATCCTATAGAACCAAACAAAGTTTTTAATCAAACACTATAATTTCAAATCAATTTTTTTTTAAAAAAAACATTAATCTATATTTATATTTTCATATTCGATATATGAAAATATACCTGTAGGGAAACGGAGGTCAGAGAGTATACCTTGTTAGGGTTTAATGACAGCCATTGTAGAACAGATTGAGGATTCTGCTTTATTTAACCGATTGTGAATGGGATATAGATAGGAAGAGAGGTGTTGTGCCCTAAAGGGAGAGGAGAACAAGAACAAGTGAACTACGGCCTCTCTCTCCACTTACCGAGTAATTAAAAAACTGTAGCGAGTTAGGATTTTGACTCGTAACTCATTGCCTACGAGTTGACGATACCGACTCGTGTCGTGCAATTATTTATTACAATTTAAAAGTTTTTATAAAAAGGATTTATAGAGTGCAGCCGACCTCATACTAATTAATTTTCTTTTTCCACGAGTTACTTTTAGAAACTCAAATTATATGCTTTTGTTTAGAACTATTAGCTTTATTAAACATTAAAGGAGTCAAGAATAAAAGTAAAAAAATTAAAAGCAAAATTAAGGGTTTAAAATAAATATATTCTTTTAAATATAAATGAAATTTAAAAAAAAATTACCTTTTTAATCACTAGCAAAAAAGAAAAAAAAATTGTGATATTAACATTATCCTTGCAAGACTGTAGTATTTTATTTATAAGAAGATTAAATTCTAAAAAAAATTAGATGAGATGAATAGATCTAAATTATACAATATAATGTCATTTTTTTATTTATAATTCTAAATATTAACTTAAAATTTAGAAAAATAAAAAAGTTTTAAAGGATTGTCTTTTTTTTTTATTAACTTAGTAAGTTACATGTGATAAATTTTTCTAATTCCAAAATAATAATAATAAAAACGTAAATTAAAAGGAATAATATTAAAATAACCCAATAGTAAATTTCCTTTCTGACTAAAAAAACAAAATATTAATTTTTCTCAAAATAATAAGACCCAATAGCACGTGTCTATAGATACTATACGCCCAGGCCCACATGAAATAATCGAATCCACACACATTATAGAAGTCACAGTAGTCACATGAAATACGCATACACCTCCATATACGCAATAAATCCCTGGCCGCAATTATGCTTAGGCCACGGCCTTAAATATTTAGTACAATATAAAAACAAGAAAATATTGAACGAGCGAGGGCAATAATAGACTCGGAAACGGAACGAGTTGACTCGGAAATAATAATTCCGATTCAGTTGATATAGTTAAGCATAGGTGGGTAGTTTTGTTTTTATTGAGTGGCAGAATTGAGCTTAAAATGAGTGAAGAAAATAGGCAAATGGCGGGAACAACCTCACTAAATGGCATTACCCGCCAATATTTTCAAAGTTATTTACAAATGTATTTGGAGGAAAAATTATAAAATCGGAGTGGATGAGTTATTACTTATTAATGGGGGTAGTTTGGGAACAATTTAAGTTTACTAAGGTTAAGCATTAAGCATAAACATGATTATATATATTTTGTATTTGGACTCAATTTATAATCTACTTGAGTAATCAAACTTTAAAATTATTTCTCTAATCCACAAATCATTTATACTTGGTTTACTAAATTGTTGTATTAATACAATAAAAGTGAATTATGAAATTTGAATTATGTACTTCATTTTTAATTATAGTCTCGTATAATTTAGTTAATTTATGTATATATAGATGTATTGAGTTTGATGGGATAAATAACATGAAATCACTATTTCTATAAAAACAATTAATTATTTCACATTGGTTGAAGTGTTTCATATCATTCATGCTAATTTGTATAAATAAATAAACTAAAATGTTTAAGGTTGTGTTTCGCCCAGCTTTTTAAGTGGCTTTTAGTGTTTTGATCGATCAAAATACTAAACATTATTTTTTTTATAGTGTTTGGTAACTTAGCGTTTGAATTAGTTTTTAGATGTTAAAATATGATTTTATAAAAAATTATCTCACGTAACGTTTAATTTTTAGCGTTTTATAAAAAGTTATTCAAATAATTAAATGTTATTAATACAATTAACAGTTTATCAAAACGACTAATTTTACATAACAAACCCTAAGTAGTTTACAAAAATCACAATTAGTTGTTCATTCCAACAATAAACTTATTTGATTTAGTTGAACATATTAATTGATAGCTGATAGTTGGTGGCTGGTAGCAGTTAGCTGATGTATGTTGGTGTTTGATAAAATTTTTTGGTAGCAGTTGCAATTAAAATGTAAAATAATTATTAAAGGTACAATTATTTTTATATATTATGATAACATATATATATATATATTAAGGTGAATAAATTATTTGAGTAAAAGATTAATTAATTTTTAAATAATATTTATAGAAAGTTATTATTTTTAAATGAATTATAAATAAAATGATAGTAAAAAATATTAATTTGAAAAAAAATTATTTTTATTAAGTAATTATTTTAAGGGTCAATATGAAATATGAATCTAATATAAATATAAATCAGCTACCGACTCATATGCAAAAACATAGGTGATGAAAATAATAGTTTATTGAAACTTTGATACTATCTATGACTGATCATAAAGCTTACTACAACCGAATTGTTGGATATAAATCGACTATCAATTGCACGAATCAGTTGAACCAAACACATTGTATATTTTAGAATTTTTCCCTATTAACCACTAAATAATTTATTTTTTATAATGTATCTAGACTATACTAGTTTCATAAACATAACTATTTATATTTTTTCAAATTAATAGTTTATGCAATCATTTTATTTATAATTATTTAAAATAATAAGTAAGCATTAAAAAATCCTAAAGTTAATAATATTTGTTTTTTATATAACAAATTATATGTAAAATAATATATTCATCTTAAAAGCTTGTATATAGATATATGTGTGTATTTGAATGCATATTTCGTGGTCATTTTATGTTTTAACAACAATCATTATTAAAATTTTATGAAACAATAAGTCATTAGATAACAAGTAACAACTATAATCAACCACTGCTAGTAATAGTTATCACAAATAATTAAACGAAACAAGTTATAAATATAAAATGATTCACATATAAATATTTTTCACATTTATGAAATATGAATTTTATAAGAGTAAAAGCTATTTATCTCAAAAATCCTTTTGAGCCACTGCTGAATGTCTTCTTCAGTTGATGGTAGTTAATTGTTGATTATTTTCATTTCTGTTATTTAATTTTATTTTTAATAATTTTTGAAACTAATTTTTTATTTAGTCTCTTAGATATGTACTTATTGATAGATCTTAAATATTTTTGTTACTCTCTTTATAGAATTTTGTTGTGTTTTCTCTCATTTCAAGAGTTGTTCTTCATTATCGGGGAATTTTTCTATGTATAGTTTGTTATTCTTTCTTTGGGAGTTCGAAGGACAAAGTAAATTATTGATTCCTTTTGGTTGAAGACTTTAAATTTTTAAATACGAGTAATTATAGCTTTGTCCAAACTAAGTCATACAAAGGCGTTTTCCTGAGAAATAATTTGAAGTAATCACGAGTTATTATCATTACAATGACAAAGAAGTAAGTGGACACTTTGATGTAAATAAAACAGCAGCTAAAGTTTTAGAATTATGTTTCTCTGGCCAACTCTTTTCCATGATACTATAAATTATGGGTTTGCTTATGATTGATGCATGCATGCTAGTAATATTTCTAAGAGGGATGAAATTGTTGGGATAGCCTCCCAAGTCACACACCGAACAAAAATGAGAAAAGGAACCAAAATATAATGATTCAACTCAACCCATTAGTATGAGGCCTTTTGGGAGGTGCCCAAAAATAAATCCGTGAGGGCTTAGCTCAAAGCGGGCAATATCATATTAATTCAGGGTTGGGGTGAGGGTACGCGCGGTCCCAACAGAAATGCTCCTTACCAATATTCTTGTATATGAATTTTTTTGATGTTCATCCCATTGATTTCATGGGACCATTCACATTCTTCATGATTCTTTCTCTTCTTTTTGAAAATTTGTAGATGTTGCATTCTTCTTTGTGCATGTCAAGCCTCCAAGATATGTATATCCTCTTTCTCACCTCCTTATTCTTTTATTTTGAAAATTTAAAACTCTTATTTACGAGTGTTTCTCATTTATAAATTTTGGTAAGAATTTTCAAATGGATTTTGTTCTTTCCCAAATAGGTATTTAATGAAATAATTTGGCTTTAGTTTTAATCAAGTTGTTGTTGTGATTTAATTGAATATACTTTGAGAGTAAACCCTAATTTATGCCTAATAATAAATTAATCTAAGGAGAAATACGTGTGATTTTTATGTGTAAATTCTTAGTTGAAATTCAAAAATCTGGTAGAAATTTTTGCATTTGTTGTCTATTAGTTTACTTTATTATGTATCTAATTTCTAGTTTGCATCATTAAATTTTTTTTTTGGATGACTATTTTTTTTTTTATTTCTTGGGAGGTCCAACAAGTCAAAAGGACGTTATGGACTACATAATAGGGGTTAGTCCTCCCTTTTACTTACCAAATCAGTGAACACTTTTATAATGAAGAAGTCTCGAATCTGAGACTTTTCACTTTCTATATAAATAAAAAGACTAATTATATCATGCTTGATTTTTCAGGATATCTATTTTAAGAGTGAACTCATCTTTTTTACGAGTATAACAATGGGCAAAAGCATTGGTTCTGTTTAATATTGTCTTCCTCGTGCACTAAAACTACTTTAATAATCATCTTTAGACCAAATCCAATTGCACCTAGAAAGAAGCCTGAGGCAACTTGACATCGTTGTGTCGTGCACAATCCATATCAAGAACTCCACATGGTGTTACGAGATTATAGAATAATCAAAGTTCTAGAACTTTCGGAACTATAGAATAGATGATTGTAGATATACAACGAAAATGATAGAAATGGTTGAATCACAAACTAGATAAAACTTTGAATTATAAAACAAATATATATAAATACCGTAGAATCCAATTTTGACAAGATTAAAAATCCACTACGAATGATCCAAGCGACGATAAAGGTTAACAGCTGATTCCACCTTGGCAAGCCATTCTAAAAATACAGCTTCACTCAAAATTCATAAGAAACCCCCAAAAGAGAGAGAGAAAAATACAAAAAAAAAAAAAAAAAAAAATACAAAAAAAAAAAAAAAAAAATTCTCCAAACTTCTAAAAAAAAAAAAAAAAAAAAAAAATTCTCAACTTCTATTAAGGGAGATTACTGCTAATTCTGCATCAGTAGTAATAAATAGCCATTAGATTAATATTGTTTAAAAATGAACCATTAGATAGAATAATAGATGAGAAACTTGATACCTATACAAGCATTTATATTTAATTTGAACAAAAAAGATTTTGATTAAAAAAATCATAATCAATATTAAATGTCAAAGTCCAAAATCCCTTTATCATCTTAATTGTCATAAAATTAGTTTCTATATGAAAAAAACCTTGATTATTTTTTATTGAGCTATATATATATATTATTAATATTTTTTCTATTCACAAATTTTTGTTTTTTTAAATAATTATGTTAATATTTAATATTTATATTTTCTTAATAAAAGAAGGCTTTCTTCCAACTATTAAAATTTTAAAAAGCTAATACAAACGATGAAAAGTCTTTTAATTTTGGAAGAAATAATAATAAAAAAAAAGTATAGTAACTACATAGATAAAAAGAAATATTATTTAAAATTTTGATTGTGTAATTTTTTTTTTTGAAACTATTGGATTATGTAATTTAGTAACCTATTGTAACATGTTTATTAAATATGTATAAATAAATGAGGTTGTACACAGATTTTACTTCTCCACTATAGTAAATGTCTTTTATTAATTTAACAATTCAATAATTACAGTAGATGTTAGTTGTCATATTTATAAGCAAGCCAAATAATTAACTAGGAAATAAAAATGCACATCAAGATATAGCCTAGTGGTTAGTGCATATATGACCCGACAATATATCCAGGTTCACATCCCCTCTCCTAATACTAAAAAAAAAAAAATTAAGAAATAAAAATCTTACTAAATAAAAAAATATATGTCGTCTCAAATAAATAAATTCCCAACTAAAAAGAATTTCTAAAGTCTTCATAATTAATAAAGATCCTATAGTAATAATACTAAAAAAAAAAAAAAAAATTTAAAGGTCCTAAAATAAATATTATATGCTTCGGATATGGAAAATCCATATAAGAACGTTATACAAAATATTCCTAGATATTTTCTTAAAGAACAAGAATTGAAATAAATTAGAAAATTAAACTTATCATAATTATGTCTACTCTTATGTTTCTATTTAATAAAATGTAGCGTAGCGGTTCAAAATGTTGATTTGGGAAGAGATGCTCTATCCATAGTCCTAGACACTCATATGTAATACTCCCTTAGTTGAAGAAAACCTATCCTCGAGTTTTTTCATAAATGAACTGATTTTTATTTACTCAAATTTATTGTGCATCTATATTAATACTGAAATTTCATAATGATTTCTATATGAGATAGCAAACTATTATGGTAGAAAACCAGTATTAATATAGATGCACATGAAATTTGAGTAACAAGAATAGAAATAGAACTATAATTTATGATAAACCAAAAAAACGAGATTATTTTTAGGGAAAATAATTATTTTATACTTGAAGTTTTACAAAATTAATTAACTCGTTCTCGTATTTTTGACTATTAAGTGTTTAATTTTTGAAATTTGATTCCATCTTATTAAATGATCACTCCGTTCAAAATTAAATGCTTTTTCCATTAGATAAGGCAAAAAAAAAAAAAAAAAAAAAAAAAAAAAAAAAAAAAAAAACAGGAGAGATAATTTTTTTAAATTGATAAATATTATCCTTAAAAAAAAAAAAAAAAAAAAAAACAGGAGAGATAAATTTTTTAAAATGATAAATATTATCCTTAATAAGATGAGGCAGATCCATAAGAAGACAAAATTACCCCTTATAAAAATTAACTTTTCATTATTTTTTTTAACTTAATGCAATATTTTAATTTTAGCAAAAAAAAAAAAAAAAAGTGAAAAGCGTAAAATTAAATTCTAATTTCGTTTCCTCCACTTTCCAAACGAGAACCCAAACAAAGCAAAACCAAAAATAAAACAAATTATAAAAAACAGAAAATTCTAAAATCCTAATCTCACCAAACCTTTCTGCTATACTTCGTGATCCAAAAGTATATGATTCTCGGTCCATCCTATAAGATAGCATACAAGAACTCATTATTGGTAGAACAACAAAAAGCAAAATACAAAATAAGCAGGGAACTAAAAGTGGCCTCATTGCAAATTTTATTTTGTTTTTAGAACATTCTAAGGGCACTGAAGCAATAATCAACATCAAATTTCAATATCTAAGGTAGTACCTTGAGCTTTAATAAACTCAATAAGAATGCGAGCTTTTCGTTGGAGACAGCCGACACTAAAAAGATGCGGGAGTGGTAGGGTGAGAAAGAGAATCGATAGGTGAGCAAGAAAGGAGTATCGGTGAGAATTCCATTTGAAAGGGCAGACATCGAACTAAAGAATGGTGAATTTCTCGACAGAATCTTTAGCCTTGAAGTAGCGAACGTCGAATCAGTCGTATTCGAAGGACTGGCACCATAGCCGGTCATTTACAGACCAATGGCTATGAAATCGGCGGCTTTGACATTGCTTTTGAGTTTGACTCCTGGAGCTACTATGTGAGTGGTAGATAAGATTGAAGTTTGGATCCTTTGGAGGCGAGAGATAGGAGGAGGAGCTAAAAGGCATTTTTGACTTTTTACACTTTTTTAATGGAAAAATGGGCTAATTTCAGAGGGAAGAACCTGTTATCGAGACGAAATTAAATATAGAATTAAATAACTTATATATAAAAGAAGTACAATGATGAGATAATTAATTTTATAAAAATTCAAAGACAAAATAATTATTTTCCTTTAATTTTATAGAGTGAATATTACTTAGTGATATAAAATTAAATAATTTTAAAATAAAATTTACAATCTAATTTATTTGTAATTATTGTTTTTTTTCCAATGTAAATAAACGATAAAAGAAATATAAATTTTCAAAAATAAAACTTCTATATTCGATTAGTGAAATTGGTAAAATAAAATCTCCAAAGAGTACCTAATGAAAATAAGATACACAATTTATGGCTGGGAAAAAGAATGTAAAAAGCAAATTACATAAATAAATGGCGGGAACTATGACGTGTAATATGTATTTTACCCGCCTTCCTCCTCCTTATTAACCCACACCGCCCCGCCATTTCTCCGATGGCCTGCGCACTCTAGTGCCAATCAATCAAACGATCACTCTTTTCTATTCAAAATCCTGGTCAATTAATTTAGGGTTAGGGTTTTTTATTTGCAAATAACAGCCAAATGGGAAAAAATGTCACTGAAGATCTGCTCTCCACCGTCCGATCTATCGTAGGCTGTGACTTCTCCGACATGGATATTATCAGAGCTCTCCACATGGCAAAACACGACCCTACTGCTGCTATCAACATTATTTTCGACACCCCGAGTTTCAATTCCAAGTTTAAACTCCAAACCCAAAAAACCCCAAATTCAACCAAATATAAACAGGCCCCTGATAAGCCGAAATTGGTAGATAAAGAAAATGGGAATCGTAATTCGGGTGAAAATTTGGATGTTACTTACAGGGGAACTAGTGAGGGAAATGGTAGCCTTGAGAATCCAGGGCTTTCGGATTCTGTTGGATGTGAGTGGTGGTACGTGGGTAATAGTTATGTGGCAGGGCTGTCAACGTGTAAAGGTAGGAAATTGAGGGCTGGCGATGAAGTTATATTCACATTTCCACTGAAGAATAATAGTTCAAGTTCGCCTTACCCTGGGAAAGTTTTTGGGAAAGGAAGGCAAGCTGCTGCAGCTTGTTCAGGGATTGTGAGGTTTTCCACTAGAGATAGTGAAGAGGTATGTTGCACAATGTTTCATTTCTCAGTTAGTAGTTCCTTGGTCTTTCTATTAATTTTGAAGGCAAAAACTTTAGAATGGCAGTTAAAGTGGTGCCCTTTGGAATAAATGTTCATATAATATTGATTGATTTTTTTTTTTTTTTCATTTCTGGATTAATGATAAGTACAGTTGAGATGCTATTTGAGCGATCTTTTACATGATGTATTGTGATTTTTGAATGGCTGTGACAGGTTGGCCGGATACCTCATGAGTGGGCTAGGTGTCTTTTGCCTCTGGTGAGAGATAAGAAGGTTAGAGTCGAGGGGTGCTGTAAATCAGCTCCTGATGTACTTGGGATAATGGATACGATTCTTTTGTCAATAAGGTGAGTCAGCTTAAATGTGAAGATTTACCTCTTGAATTTTCATTAAGTCATGCGTTGGTTTTGATCAGAAGTCATATAAGGATACATTGTCTATTTAACAGATATTAAGTATGCAGTTTTACAATTAATGATGCATCAATGATCTACACCCGATAACGCTTGAACTTTGCTTCCCTATGGTTTAATATTATGTTTGCTGGATACCATGCAGTTGCTGATGAATCTTGACTTTGTGCCAGTGTGTACATTAACAGTGCCTTGTTCCACAAGAACCAGCAGACCTCACTTAAGGCAGCCAGCAATTCAACTGAGGAAACAATTGTTCACCCTTTACCAAATTTGTTCCGGTTGCTTGGATTGACCCCTTTTAAGAAGGTGATATTTTGCCATTGGACTCTTGTACTCTTTTATGGTTACTACAAAGCAGTCTATTGGTAAATAAAAATTTGCCACATGGTACGAGCTTGATCATTTAAATGTTTTAACTCTCTTTGCTTAAGTAGGCAGAATTTGCACCTGCTGATTTGTATACAAGGAAACGGCCTTTAAACTCAAAGGTAAGAAAAAGTTTGATATACATTTTGTCAATCATTTTCTTTCTCAGTGAAGTCCAGCTAATACTTTTACCTGAACAGGATGGATCTGGTATTCGGACATCACTATTACATGTTAACAACTCTATGAATCAACCAAAAAATGGAAATGAAGTTGAAAATGAGGAGCCCATTTCGGATGCTGAGCTTGACAATATTGTCGGTGTTGGGGATTACTCTGAGTTAGAGGTATTGCTATTTATGAGGAATTCTGTCAGTGAAGCCAGCAATGCACATTTGGGTTAGAATTACCTAATAGCCCATTTCGGATGCTGAGCTTGACAATATTGTCGGTGTTGGGGATTACTCTGAGTTAGAGGTATTGCTATTTATGAGGAATTCTGTCAGTGAAGCCAGCAATGCACATTTGGGTTAGAATTACCTAATAATTGTAATGATTTAGGAAATGGATCCTCCTAGTACACTTCTGTGTGAACTTCGACCCTACCAAAAGCAGGTGCTACATTGGATGCTTCAACTGGAGAAGGGAAAATGCTTGGATGAGGGAGCAACAACTCTTCATCCGTGTTGGGAGGCCTATCATCTGGCAGACAAGTACGTTGGATTCTTGTAGCATTCAATAGATTCTATTTACTCAGTGCTGAATATTGGTTGGATTTTTATTCTTGTATAGGAGGGAGCTAGTTATCTATTTGAACACGTTTACAGGCGATGCTACAGTAGAATTTCCAAGCACACTTCAAATGGCCAGGGGAGGAGTATGTTTCTATGGCTCAATTTTATTTCAATTTTATCAACATTTAAATGGTTATTTTCAATCTATATCAATAGTTACTAGACTAAATTATACTTTTGAAGATTCTGGCGGATGCTATGGGACTTGGTAAGACCATCATGACCATAGCCCTTCTACTTGCTCATTCACAAAGGGATGGGCCATTAAGTAGTCGATCTGTGAGTCAGCTTTCTAGTGAAATCGTTGAGGCCAATGATATTTCAGATCAGTTGCCAAATCAACCAAAAAAGGCTACAAAATTTTCAGGCTTTGTTAAGTCGATGGAGCAAAAGAAGGTTCTTGTAAATGGTGGCAATCTGATAGTATGTCCCATGACTCTATTGGGCCAATGGAAGGTACCTGTGTTGTCCTTTATGCATCCTATGGCTGTTATTTGCTGTTGGTTTGTCTCTGTTTCCCTTTTTCATATTCTTTTGGTAGTTGAATAGATGACAGTGGTTATTTCCTTAGTTATGAAAGTTTTAACCTTGTTAATAACTCACTTGTTGTTCGTAAGGGTAATCTAAAACATTTGAGTTTTCTGTCAGGCTGAGATAGAAACTCATGCACAACCTGGTTCTTTGTCTATATATGTTCACTATGGACAAAGTAGAGCAAAGGATGCGAAACTTCTGGCCCAGAATGATGTTGTAATAACTACATATGGAGTATTAACTTCGGAGTTTACAGCAGAGGTGGTTCAAAAGAATCTAGCATTTTTCTGTTTGTCTTTATATTTGCATAAATTTCATAAGAATTAATGCTCTCTTTCTTCTTCCTGTTTCCTTTCTAGGATATGGAGGAGAATGGGGGAATTCACTCAGTTCGGTGGTTTAGAGTGATTCTTGATGAGGCACATACCATAAAATCTTCAAAAAGTCAAATTTCAATTGCTGCTGCTGCTCTGGTTGCTAACTGTCGCTGGTGCCTCACTGGCACACCTATTCAGGTGATGTATTTTGTTCGTGTTTATATAAATCCTCGGTTTCAAAATTCTCTTATTTCTATATATACAGAGGAATAACCTTCCAACACTTTCAGCATCTTCTAGAGTTCACAATTAACAGCCAAAATAACCCTGAACTTGATGCACATATAATTAAAAATGCTAGAAAATGAGCTAACTCACAAAATCCTTGTCTTCTGATGGAGTCCATGAAGTTAAGTTCTGGACTGACATGCTCAACTGGCTATTAGCATGCTGTCTTCTAAAACAACGCCTCTGCTTATAGTACCTCATCAAGCTATTTATTTTTCTTCGCATATTCTTTGACTAATCGAGATGGGAAATGAGGAATATCTTTTATCGCAAAAATTGCTGTCTGGCACTGAGGCCAGGTCCTCGACTGAAATGTGTGTATATGATGTCAAATACTTTTAACTATTTTGTGTAGTATCAATCTGAATTTTATTCATTTGGTACTTTTATTTTTCACTGCTGTCTTTGTACGCCGAATTCTCATACATATATGACTTTGTTTATGACCCCTTATCTTATTCATGTAAATTTTTTATTTTTTGATACTTGGGAGATATGGTATGTTGAGTTCAAACCTGGATGCTTACTTTAGATATATCTATGCTGACATTTAGACTTAGACCAAGGGCATCACTACCTTACTATCTAAATTCTAAAGTAAATTTGTGCGCTGATGCTTTTTCAAGTAGATGAAAAGTTATTGCTTTCTTGTATGGCTTTTTAGATGTTATAGTCCTGATGCAAATGTTTTACATCTCAGAATAGCTTGGAAGACATCTACAGCCTTCTTCGGTTTTTGAAGGTGGAGCCTTGGGAAAATTGGGCATGGTAAGTTTTGCTTCAGTTATTATGGTTAATTTCTCTGCCTGCAATACCTTTTTATAATGAGTTTTACAATTTGATTGTAGTTTGTAGGCTGCAATTCACAGAGTGTGTGTGCGAAAGCATAGTTACTCACCGAAAAAGATGTTAAAAATGTGTATGAAAGCAAAAGTGGATAAATTGATAGGGGTTGTTATGCTGCATTCATTAAATACAAGTCTACTGGAAGATGAAGCTTTTGTCTTAGCTATGGAGATTTCATCTTCCTGAATTGATTAAATAAGCCCCCTAATGTCCACTAAATTCTATATTTCTGTAAGAGTTGACGTGTCATTTGGGGCGAGGAGGCTGCGTGGTTAATTTGTTTCTTTTATGACCTAGGTGGAATAAACTTGTCCAGAAACCATTTGAGGAGGGTGATGAGAGAGGACTGAGGTTGGTCCAGACCATTCTGAAGCCAATCATGTTAAGGAGAACAAAATCTAGTACAGATCGAGAAGGCAGGTGGGTGTACTGTATAATGGTGTAATACATCATCACCTCTCCGCCTTTTTTCAAATTAATCTCTAAAAGTTTTAGCTTGTTGCAGGCCAATTCTAGTTCTTCCTCCTGCAGATACTCAAGTGATTTACTGTGAACTGACAGAAATACTCAAGTGATTTTACTGTGAATGACAGAAGCTGAAAGAGATTCTATGAGGCATTGCTCAAGTGATTTACTGTGAACTGACAGAAGCTGAAAGAGATTTCTATGAGGCATTGTTTAAAAGATCGAAGGTTTGAAATTCTTTTTCATGATTGCATTTCATGTGACATAATTTGGTCTGGATTTTCTGTCATGGTCTTGTATAACCTTTTGATGGGAATCTCCTCAGGTGAAGTTTGATCAGTTTGTAGAGCAAGGACGGGTTCTTCATAATTATGCTTCTATATTGGAGTTGCTTTTACGTCTTCGTCAATGCTGTGATCATCCATTTCTTGTGATGAGGTGTGGACTCACCCTTTTTAACTCATGGTTGAGGAATTATAGTGTACTTATGTTGTCTGGAAGAGAATCAGTTTGCTCAATTTTTGATTTGGATGATGGAAAGGAACACAGTTTCTCTGCTAGTTTATTTGTAAACAGTCACTTCACTTTTTCACTTAAATGAGCCAGAAACTGCTGAAATATGAAAGTTCCTTTTGTAATTCCTACAGCCACTTTTAAACTTTAATGTTTGCCAACATGATAAGATTTATCATCACTTCATTGCCATCAAAATCACCATGTAATAGCACTTCATTGAGATATCATTGTATTGTTAGTGATTGAGTGATTTTGACATCTCCAGTCGAGGTGATACACAAGAATATTCTGATCTAAACAAGCTAGCTAAACGCTTCCTTAAAGGTGGCCAGAATGTCCTGGAAGGAGAAGTCAGAGATGTTCCTTCACGGGCATATGTTCAAGAGGTTGTGGAAGAGTTGCGCAAGGGGGAACAGGGAGAGTGTCCAATATGTCTTGAAGCATTTGAAGATGCAGTATTGACACCTTGTGCTCACCGCTTATGCCGAGAATGTCTCTTGGCAAGCTGGCGAAATTCGAGTTCTGGTTTATGTCCTGTTTGTAGGTATCTGCAAGCTACTGTTACGAATTCATCTCTATGATTTCATCTTTTATATTTCATTTTAGGTTTAAACTTTATTCTCCATGAAATCTTTTTATCACAAACTCTTCTTTCCTTCGAGCTGAGTGTGTTTCTTTTTCATCTCTCCAGGAAAACCATCACTAGGCAAGAGCTTATTACAGCTCCAACTGACAGTAGGTTTCAGATTGATATTGAGAAAAATTGGGTGGAATCAACCAAAGTTGTTGCTCTCTTGAAAGAGCTTGAGAAGCTTCGTTCATCAGGCTCTAAGAGCATTCTCTTCAGCCAATGGACTTCCTTTCTGGATCTCTTACAAATTCCCCTTTCTAGGTATGACTTACTACCTGCTTAAAGTTTTTGAAGTAGTATGCATGGTTGTATAGGGGCACTCCAATGATATACTTTTCAGTTGTATGCTCTTTGTCAAGTAGACTAACGCAGGGAATGAGGTGTTTTCAGGGCTGGTTTGACTTTAGGAGCTATTTAGCCATCTATTAGAAGATTTCAAAATAAGTAATCTGACCTGCTTAATTTTGAAAATATGATGTGCACAAATAATGTGGAATGATGCCTGTTTTGGATAGATACTAATATAGTTTCCATGCTGACCAGGAGTAGCGTTTCATTTCTGCGTCTGGATGGGACTTTAAACCAGCAGCAGCGGGAAAGGGTTATAAAACAGTTTTCGGAAGATGAGAACGTCTCGGTCTGTCGATTGTTTTTACTTTTCTTTTATTTATTCCCCTTCTTTGTGATAGATGGGATGTGCATGTCAAGTGGAAGCTTGGATATTCATCATCTGAGTGACTGTTTTGAATCAGGTCTTACTGATGTCGTTGAAGGCTGGAGGTGTTGGAATAAATCTAACAGCAGCTTCCAATGCCTTTGTCATGGTAGGGACACTATCAAACTTTTTATTATGAAGTAGCTACACATGATAAGCTGCAAATTATGTTAATTGTATTTCATTTTATTATTCTGTATACCCAATAAGTATGCCCAGGGAAGCTATGATCAATAGGTTAACATTCAAGTATTCCATTCTGTAGGATCCTTGGTGGAATCCAGCTGTAGAGGAACAAGCTGTCATGCGGATTCATCGCATTGGTCAAACAAAACAAGTCATGATCAAGCGGTTCATTGTAAAGGTAAGTTTTCATCATTTAGTTGGCTCATGTGGTTAAATCTAATTTCTTCTTGTTCTGTTTACAAGTTCTGACTAAAACAAAATAGCCTTCCTTTCTTGTGCTATAACTTTGACCTTCAATTTACTTGTTTTAACATACTTGCAGTCCATTATCTTTTCCTAAGTTTTGCTAATATTTCTCTACATTGCATGAATATTTACTTGGATAAGGGAACGGTTGAGGAAAGAATGGAGGCAGTGCAAGCACGCAAGCAACGGATGATAGCTGGTGCCTTGACCGACCAAGAAGTTAGAACAGCACGTATTGAGGAGCTGAAAATGCTTTTTACATAGATGACTGCTGCGAATGGAGGTTTTTTGCTGGTTCGCAATTGGTAATTCTCGTTTGCTTTTTGAATTCCTGGAATCAAGAAATTTAGATAGCAACAGAAGGAAGTTGATTTTTCCATGGCACCCAGGTTTTTTCATTGAGCTTCTGCATGTTAAAGGATGATAATTAGTGTTGAATCTTCTCTGATTATTCATGTACCTATCAAAAATCAGGGCAGACTCTTGAATAGAACCATCTGTGTATATAATATATACGAAGAAGATTTTGTAGTAGTTAAGCATATCAATTTAGGATTACAGTATTAGTGTAGAAGCTCCTGTTTGCATTATTATTTTTTCTGTACAAGGGAAATTAGTTTTTAGTCATTTATTTATATATTTGCTCATTCTTTTTTATTTCCATTATCTTCCTCCTAAAAATAATAATGCTGGTCAATTTGGTTTTATTTTGGTAGTTTGCTACGTTTAAAAATTAATTAACTCATTATAATTAATTGACATCATATTAAAATAGATATCTATAATTAATTAATGACAGGTATTATTATTATTATTATTATTATTTTTAAATGCTAAAGCGGATTATAACTTATAAGTACAGAAATGAAACAACTCTAGAAGGCCAAGGAGCCTCAACTATATCAATATTTATAATTTATAATTTGTTTTTTATTTGATTACAATATTGAAAATTAACTAAAAATTAAATTTTAATTTATTATTAAATATGAGAAAATATAATAAAATTAATAAATTATGAGAGTCTTGGTAATGTGTTTATAAGTTTTTTTCTTGCTGACTCTATTACTAGGACGTCTAATCCGGTTTAGGCATAGTCACAATTAAAGCTCTTCGCTTCTTTTTTTGCAGGTGAAGAGATCAAACCGACGGCTCTTTCCATATATCGTCCGTTTTATCAATTGAACCATAATCTGTAGGTTTTAAGTATTTTTTCTTCTTTTATAATAAATCTATTTATGTTTCATCTTTAATAAAAAAATAGAAAAATCATTTTCCTTTATTAATTAATTTCCTCATACTTTTATCAGAAATAAACAATTAAATTGAAAAATAATACTCATTTCTCCCGAACTAGAAAACAATGTACAATTTGCTCATCGTAAGCCAATTTAAAATCACCTCTAGGCAAATCAAACCAAAGAAAACGAACGTAAACCTAGGACAAACCATTAAATCGGACCAGATATCATTTAAAGGAGAATGGCCTTGAATCGGACCGGAAAACCTTCTCCTTCCTCCTCCTCTCCTTGCGAACAACGATCGCCTCCCATATCAGTTGTTCCTTAGCCATTTCCGGCCGATCAACGGCCAAGGACTGCCACTTCGTGCGACCCAGCCATCGTCTCGAAATCCTCTTGACATCCTAGCTCGATTTTCTTTATTCTTTGGCTGCTGAGAGAGAGAGAGAGAGAGAGAGAGGGAGAGAGATTGGCCGAACTTATTCCGACTAACCTACGACCGGCGATTTCAGTCATCAAGGTTAGTTTGGAACCACTTATTAAAGCATGTACCAGTATGCCTATATTCTCGATTAATCTCTTCAATTTGTATAGATTCTAGAATATTGAAATCCTAGGTTGAATTTGGGGATTGGTTGAATTAATTACAAATTTTAGAAATTGAAGTTAGATTAACGACGCTTACTGAATTTGGAGCATGCTGATGTATAGTTTTAAGGAATGGTTAAAGCAGTATATGCGGCCATGGCAGGTGCATAGAACCCTTATATTCAAGTTGTTGCATTTTCAATGAGGATTACGAATTTGTAATTAGTTTCACAAATCAGGGCGGTTTAGGAGTTGAAATAACTAAATGTAGTTACAAAACTTAGGATCCAAAGCCAAAAGTTTGCGAAAACTGAATCCAATAACGAACAAATTAGCATATAGAGCAGAAAATTAGCTTCATAAGTTAGTCATTCTGGTTTAAAAATAATTAGATTAAATAGAATCCAAGGTTACCTTAGAAATGTTAAATGCCAATTGGTTACGTTAGAATTAAATCACTTAAATGTGAAAAGTGAAAAGTCCAAATTGCGTATAAACATTATTTCATTAACACCTATAATATAAGTGGAAGACTTGATAAAAATCCCTAATTCTCTTCCATCTCTTTTTCATAGGGTTTTTAGGACCATGAGTTCGCAAATCTCAGGCTCTAGTGCAACACCATCAATTGTCATTGAATAATATAGACAATCAACACTTTAAAAGGGACAAAATATATTGGTATCATATTGATATAACAAGAAGTTACATTTTGCATCTACCTAAACCAAAGAATTGAATTATTAAACTTCATACTCCATTACAAACAAAAAGAGACAATGCCAACTTGACCAAAAAAAGTGCATTATCAGTTACAGCTATAAAAAAGCAACAAATTTCAAAAAGTGCCTTCTTCTCATTTCCTCTTCCTTTTCAATTGGCTACGCAAATTTCTGGTTTTAGTTAGTTAAAACCTTGTTCGGCGTTTTGTAAGCTGAGTTTTGATTGAGAATTTTATCATTGGAGAGTACTTGGCACTTGGATTAGTTATCAATCCATGTTTGGTGCTGAGAAAATATGGGAAAACTTGAGATGGAAAATAGTAGTTTACTGTGTTGCAAGAAAATGGAAACGTGGAATACAGATACGGGAAACGGTCTTTGCAAAAATACAGGAAACGGTAACGTGGGGGAAACTCAAAAATATAAAAAATATAAGGATGTATTTACAAATATAAAAAATAAATTATTACAAACCATTAATATATTCAATAATAAATCAAGTCCATTCCATATTTAATCATATCTAAAAGAAAAAAAAATTTCATTTACAAGTTTCTCCTCATAAAAAATACATATATTTAAATTTGTATTTATTTATGTATTTATTTGAATTAGAAATTAGAAAAATGGGTTTCCGAGCGTTTCCAGATCGCGGAAAATGTCTTTCCAAGAGCATAAACGTGTTTCTAAATTATCTAATTTATGGAAATGGCCCTGAAACATTTCCGAGGAGTTTCCAAACATTTCCGAAACGTGGAAACGGCAGCCAATGAGAGTTTCCGTGCAACATAGGTAGTTTAGTTTGAGCTCGAGATTGCAATTTGATTTTTTTGTTTTGGTATTTCAATTTGGAAATCTAATCGGTGTACTTCAATTTTCTACTTTCAATGGTTTATATTTTTTTATTTTTTATTTTCTGATTGTCAATTTTTCTCTATTTTCTCCCTCATTTGTAGGAACTGGAAACATTTATAGGGTTTTGTTTTGGATCCCATGGATACTTCAATTGCTGAAGGCGGTTTCACAACTTAATTTTACTACTTAAAATTTGATAAGGGCAAGCTTGCATAGGAAGACTTTGGTTTTGGTGTAAAAATTATGGTAGGGAATTCATTAGCTCAGGTTTCAACAGGCCCTGCTACCATGTTAGCATCATCATTGACTGTTCTACCCCATGGTTTGCCTTATCTTCCATCAAGACAGAAGAAACAACTCAGGCAGGTTAGAGCTATGTCGGCAGACGTAGGACCTAGCCAAGCATCCTCATCTTCATCAGAGAAAAAGAACCCACTTGCAGTTGTTTTGGGGGTTCCTCAAAATGTTTGGAGGCAAACATTAAAGCCATTGAGTGATTTCGGTTTTGGAAGGAGGAGCATTTGGGAAGGTGGAGTTGGGTTGTTTCTTGTGTCAGCTATTGTACTTTCTACACTTAGTTTGGCTTGGTTGAGGGGGTTTCAATTACGTTCGAAATTCAGGAAGTATTTGGCTGTATTTGAGTTTGCTCAAGCTGGCGGTATTTGCACAGGAACCCCAGTTAGGATTAGAGGGGTGACTGTTGGCAATGTCATCAAAGTTAATCCTTCCTTAAGATGTATTGAAGCAGTTGTTGAGGTGTGCCGATTGAATTTTAATTTTGTGTTCTACACCCTGACATAAAAATTGTACTGATTTCTTACTTTATGTTTTCTAGGTTGAAGATGATAAAATAATCATACCTAGAAATTCGCTAATCGAGTTGAACCAGTCAGGTCTTCTTATGGAAACAATCATTGATATTACACCTAAAGATCCAATTCCATCACCATCTGTAGGACCTCTTGATGCTGAGTGCGTTAAGGAAGGTCAAATTGTATGCGATAGGCAAAAGATAAAGGGACGTCAAGGAGTAAGTTTAGATGAATTGGTTGGGATATTTACCCGTTTGGGACGTGAAATGGAGGAAATTGGTGTTTCTAAGAGTTACACGCTGGCTGAGCGTGTTGCTGCTGTAATTGAAGAGGCAAAACCACTGCTTACAAAGGTGCGAACTGGCCTTCTTCTGTTTTGTTTTTGCATTTAATTGATAATATGTCACCTTAACTGCATTGTTGAGGTGATCAATATTCTGGATTCTGCAAAATCAAGATTATTTTTTTAAAAAGGTTTTATTGGTAAAAAAAAGAAAATTAACAATCACCTGTTATCTTGAAGAACTTTTGTTCACTCAGTTTGGTTCAGGTGGTAGAAAAATATGTTCTTGAGGGCACAATTGAATAGTTTGTCAAGGCACATTCAGTTGGAGTCTGAAAGTGCTGACTGAATAAAATGCTACTTATCTGGAATGAGATGGAGGTTTAAACATTGTATTAGCAAAACCTCAAGAAATGTACTTTATTAGATATCCATACACCTACTTGTCAGTTTTAATTTGCATTAGTTTAAAACTGGTCAACTGCATAGGAAAAAAAAAATGTTAGCTCTTGTCATGCTTAACCAAATTTAATACAGTTCTATTGATAAAACATTAATGGATACTCATGCAAACTTTGGTTCTGATGTAGTGATATCTCAGATCCAGGAAATGGCTGAAGACATTCAACCTTTGCTGGCTGAGGTTCGTGATGGTGGTCTTCTTAGGGAAGTTGAAACTTTGACTAGAAGTCTAACGCAAGCCTCTGAAGATTTAAGGTGAATTATACTTCTTTTTTCTATAACCAGTTGAATTTTTGAGATCTTCCAATAATCCCAACTAATAAATAAAAGAATACACTCGATAAAATACATGCACAAACTACCTTCATGACCATAGAAAACTTCAAGATTGGGTTGTGGTCAAACTGAGATGAAAGCTTTGAGCAGCTATGTTAAAGCTTTGCGTGGGCTAAGGCAATGATATAATAACTACAGGACTAACAATTGCGTTGCATGCACTTTGAATAAACAATTTGATACCAGATGCTTGGAAAGTCTGGAAAGGCCAGTGGCAAGTCTCCAAATGAATTAGACTTAAAAGCAACCCTTAATTTAGTCCTTTTTGGGTGCTATCCAACTTTCTAGCCCGACTTTTACACTGGCCTGGGGAATTCTTATTCTGTTGCCAGCCCTTGCATCATGCAATTGAAAAACCGTAAACTCAGCTTAGATATGTAATCAATGATCCGTAAGGTCAACACATTTCAAGAGTGGGAGAGGGAAACAAGGGCATGAACTCCTAAAGTTTTGAATTGTGAGGCAATAAGTCAACAACTATTTCATATAAAGCTCAATTAATGATTGTAGCTCTGAGGGTTACCAGCAAATCTTATTTACTGCACTTAGCAGCTAGCTTGAGTTGTTTTTTGCTTCTTTACACGTGATAAAGTGTAGCAGCATTTGGTTTATATGCACACTGGTTTTCACATTATATCCTCTTATAAAACATTGAGATGCTACAATGGTAAAAGTTTAAATATTTTGTAGACAATTTTATCCTATAAAATCTTAAGTTCCAAAACTAAAATCAGAATTTCCAAAAGTAAGTTATGTTCTTTCTATTGCAGTTTTGAATGGAATACCAGTTTGTCTCTTTTGTGGGTTTGCCACTTAAATAGCATTTAAGAGATTTTTTTTTTTTTCGGGTCAAAAGCCCAATGGGATTATTTTGACGTGCTTTTGGGGGAGAGACTTTTCATTCATCACCTTTCAATTGTGGAAACAGTTGTCTTCTTTCCTAACAATGCTTCTAACAGAAAAGCTATCTTTATCTCTTTATTAACAATTTTTATTAGGAACAAATTGTAATGTTGCAAATTGCATTTTGTCTATAACTAAATTCTACCATAGTATCTCTTTTCTTTCATTGCCATTGGTGATGTTCCCCATTTGTTGTCACAGTTACACGTGCTTCTTGCATCATCACTGTTATTTCACTTCTTCCACTATAACATTGTATCACCAGGTTTCGATATATATTTATATATATGAGATTAATTTGATCAGAGTGGATATTTGAAACAAATGATTCATATAGTCACCCTAGTTAGTTTGGGACTAAGGCTTGGTGGTTGTTGTTGTTGGCCTCTGGGAATTAACTATGTCACTGCGTCGAAGACATTATTTTAGCATCAATAGCCAATAAAATATAGGAAAATTGAGTGGGACTGAAGTTCCCGACTTCTAGGTCCCCACACCCGTTTGGGTTGGAGAATTTTAGCATCAGCAAAATAAAGTCTCTCTCTCTGAACATATATCTCTGTTGCACAAAAGTCTACTGATAAAAGAACCGCAATCATCTAATAGCACAACCATGGGTGCAGGTTGTCTGTGTTAAGGCCAATCTCAGGTTTAGAAACATGTTGAACTGCGACATGATAATTTTTCCATCAAGGCCAATCTCAGGTTTAGAAGGGCCTTTTTAGAGTGGCAATGCGACACCATCTTGATTTCCAATGCTCTGTTGTAGTGTTAATTTTTCACGCATATGAGTGTCAAAGATCCTTCATGCAATTATATGTAGTTACTATAATGTAAATGCCTACTGGACCTTTATGCTTCAACATGTTAATTGCTTCTGTAGGAAACCTTGGAGTAGAAACATGTAATGGTATTGAGAGGTGTGATGGGTTTTTGAGTGGTTAAACATGATTTTGTTGATTTTTTAACATTTGCATACTGACGTTCAAATTTGACATTTGATTAAAGCAAGATGAGAATTCTGTGGACTGTGCATTGAAAGAAACAAAAAGGATGGTCTTCTTGAAAACATTGAGGGAATAAGCCATTTTCTGACTCATAAAATCTCAATGGTTGAGTCTTTCTTTTCTGCAGAAGGGCACATGTATCTATTATGACCCCAGAGAACACAGAGTTGATTCAAAAGTCCATTTACAGTCTGATATTTACTTTGAAAAACATTGAGGTGATATCCTGATTGAAATTTTCCTATAGTTTTTGCTATGCTGTTATCTTGGATGTTTTTATTTGCCAAGTTTTTTCTTATTTTGTTTTCGCCTTCAACCATATTAGAATATAAGCTCTGATATTCTGGGGTTTACGGGTGATGAAGTTACAAGACAGAACTTGAAAGCGCTTATCAAGTCTCTAAGTAGGATGTTATGAAGGCTAGTAAAAGGTGAAAATAGCAATGGGTAACTTTCAAAGTTGATTGGGTGCCTGAAATGGTTTCCTTCATTATACTAGGCACACGACAGAGCCATAGTGGATCTTACAGGTCAGCTCCCTTCTGGTTGCATTTGTGAAGAAGGCTTCACGTTAGAGCCTCAGAGGTACTTGTTGCATTTTTTTTAATGAAGTCCTGTCAGATGTTTCTCTTAACCCAGTCAGAAAAGAATAATAGAAGCTCTTTTGTTATAGAAAACTTGTGATTAGCATTTTGAATACTTGGAAAAGCTTTGATTTTTTTGTTGTAGGATTTTGATTTCCCAGCTAAAAGAAAGTTTCTAGAGAAAAATAGAATACCATATTGAAAATTTACTGCCTGATGAATTTTTTTATCTGCATGTAGTCATCTTCTTCCCTTCTTGAAAGGCTTACAAATGAAATCATGAATTTATTTTTCTTTTTAAATTGCAAACTTGGAACTATATTTCTCTCGACTTGTGGTTTGAATTGCTTCTGAAAAGACAGATTCCTGATTATTATTCCGATCTTGTTGATTTAGTTTATGAGATTCCTAGTCCTTTTATTGGTGATTGAACACTCCGTGTGCACACTGCCTGTTATTTGACCACCTTTTAAACATTTCTTGCAAAAGTTAATAGCTAATTTTCAATATAAAATAGATAAAATATGAAGGTAAGGTTTATATTTTCCTTCTCTTTACACTTCAGAAAATTTTTTTTTTAAAAAAAAGTGTTTGCTTCCAAACAAATATAGAGGTGTACTTATTCCTTCTAATCTCTCTTCCATTTTCTTAATTTTTTATAATGTTATAATATCTCGATAAGGCTTTTGGTTACTAGAATGCAACATTTTTATAAAGACAGATTTGTAAGAAAATAATAAAAATGCTAAATTTTTATGTTTCTTTATAAATTCTTTTTTTATGGTACAATAATTAAATTATAGCATTTCTAGGGTTATTTTTTAAATTCAAATCGGTAATTTTTTCATATAATTTATTTTTTATTATATATTGAATTCTTAAAAGAGTTTTATTCTTAATAAAAATTTGTTATTTTTTATTTTCTTTTTCATTATTGAATTAATTTAATAAGAGATTTGTCTCCCTTGCAATTAATATATGGCCTCTGGTTAAACATTTTTAATTTTCTTGATATTTTTTCTTTTATATCCTAAATATGTTTGACTTGAAAGAAAATAGTATTTATGAATTTAAAAAAAAATTAAAACTATATATTTCTGTTTTTGGTTATTTTTTGGGTTTCAAAAGTTTGTGTGTATGTTCATATATTTCTTTCTCTAATGCGCTGGGTAAATAATTCTATCACTATATGCAAAATGATTATTATTATTAATTCAGATTATCTTCTCATTTCTTTTCTTTTACCTACCAGTGGAAAAAAAATTATTATTATTTTTTATTATAGCTGTATATAGGTATTGATTTGGGATTGAGGGCAAGGGTTTTGAGTGATAACTTGATTTTCTTTTTGAGTACTTATCAGGGTTTTAAGAATCTCTATTTATAAATTAGAGACTGTAGAATTAAGTATAGGGATTGAATTGAACTTTATTTTGAGACTACTTCATTATATAAAAATAGAATCAAGTACATAATAAATATTATTGTAAGTAGTTTATACGACAAAGTCTAATACAAATTAAGCAATTATATTTTTGTAATTTTAAAAAAATTATATTTTAATATTATATAGATAAACAATTAAAAGAGTATAAAAAATGAAAATATAACCAATATTGTCAACGTGGAACGCATGTCATAAAAAATACTAACTGCGGTGAAAAAGTTATATTTTACATAAAAGAGTATAACACTCTGTTTGGAAGAGTGGATTTTATCAAAGGAAAGAAAAATTTGATGAAAAAAAATAGGAGAAAGCAACTTTTCTTCTATTTGGAAAGTGGAGAGAAAATAGCTAAGCAAGGAAAATAATCAAGCCCATAAACTTGCAATCTCTCCTAATTGGAGAGGGTATTTAAAAATTACTAACAGGTTGAAAGGAAAAGAGATAGATATGGAAGAAGAGATTTACTTATTGGTTATGCTTTTTTGAATAATATGAGAAAATTTTGGCCAAGATTTTTAGTAATAGGTAGTAAAAGCGTCTTGAATCGTATGTAAAAGTGAGAGATCATAGGAAGAGAAAATCAGGGAAAAGGGATATTGGGTGTTTGCCACGTTGACAGAATTTTAGTTGAGGAAGAATAAGATAAGAAAACGATTTTGAAATTAAATTTTTTTAAATAATCAAATGGTATTATTTCTATTTAGATGGTGATTAATTTATTTAAATAGTACTTAAATAAATTATTATTTTTTATTTGCTAATATTTCAAATAGTATTTGATTATTATTTTTTTATTTTAAATACTAAATTTACTTGTTAAATTGTTTTTTTTAGATGGTTAAATTATTTTTGTTCGTTAAACAGTACTTTATTATATTTAGGTTCAATAATTCTTAGAACATTAGTTTATATAGTCGGGTAAGGTATTAACTTTTATAATAATCGTTCTTTCTTTCTCTTCTTTATTTTCCTCCAATCCAAACATAAAATAAAAAAAAAGAAAATAATACAATCATTTATTATTTTTCTCTTCAATCCCAAAAAAAAAAAAAAAAAAAGTGTAAATACAGATCATTTATTATTTTTCCTCTCCCAATCCCAAAAAAAAAAAAAAACAGTGTAAATGCCATGTGCACGTGGATTGAAATTAAATTATATAAGCCGGATATAAATCATGGTAATTTCTAAATTAAACCCTTCAAAAACCACTAATTTACAAAATTGAAGTAAAGAGTACCCTCCTCTCCCGCTCCAAGTTCCAACTCCCGAAAAACACTTTAACAGCGACTACGACCAGTCCTTCCATTGTCTCAAAGTCCCGTCGGCCATGCCGGCTATCTCTTTCGTTGCAAAAAAAAAAAAAAAAAACAGTGTAAATGCCATGTGCACGTGGATTTGAAATTAAATTATATAAGCCGGATATAAATCATGGTTAATTTTCTAATTAACCCTTCAAAAACCACTATTTACAAAAATTGAAGTAAAGAGTACCCTCTCTCCCGCTCCAAGTCCCAACTCCCGAAAACACTTAACAGCGACTACTACCAGTCCTTCCATTGTCTCAAAGTCCCTTCGCCATGCCGGCTATCTCTTTCTGCCCCACCACCGTCGCGGCCTACGCCACCAATTTTTCCCTCGCATTAAAGCTTGAGAAACCTCAAAAATCCCTCATTTCATTCTCTAAACTGCCCTCCTTTTCCAAAGTGCTAAACCCTATCAATACTTCTTTTACTACATCTCGAACCCTTGTTCCTCCCAAATACTCCGCCGCCTCCGATCTATCTGCTCTCAGTTCTGCATCCGCCGATGATTCCATCTCCGCCGAAACTTCCTCTTTCAAATCCTTAAAATCTCGCCTCCGAAATGGCGAAACTCTTTATGGCCTCTTTCTCCTCAGCTTTTCCCCGACTCTCGCTGAAATTGCTGGCTTTTCCGGCTACGATTTCGTTGTCCTTGACATGGAGCACGGACCCGGCGGCATTACTGAAGCTCTAAGCTGTCTCCATGCGTTAGCCGCCACTCAGACTCCAGCGATCATCCGCTTACCGGAGAGTTGCCCTACTTGGGCTAAGAAGGCACTGGATCTCGGTCCACAAGGAATAATGTTTCCGATGATTGAAAGCGCTAAAATGGCAAAGAAAGCTGTGTCGTATTGCCGGTTTCCACCGGACGGTATTCGTGGATCGGCGCATACGGTGGTTAGGGCATCGAATTATGGAATTGATGAAGGCTATTTGAGTAATTACGAAAACGAGTTGCTCATCATGTGCCAGGTAGAGAGCGAAGAAGGGGTGAAGAAAGCGGAAGAGATTGCAGCCGTTGAGGGCGTTGACTGTATACAAATGGGGCCGTTGGATCTGAGTGCGAGCCTGGGGTACCTGTGGGACCCAGGGCACAAGAAGGTGAGAGAAATGTTGAGAAAGGCTGAGAAGGCAGTGTTCGGGTCCAACCCCGGTAGTGGTGGTGGGGCTTACTTGGCTGGGTTTGCGATGCCGCACGATGGGCCCACAAATTTGAAATCACGTGGATATCACATGGTATCAGGTGCCGTTGATTTGGGCATGTTTAGGAGTGCTGCTGTAGAGGATGTGAAGAGGTTTAAGACGTTCTTGGTTCAAGGTTCTGATGATGAGGAGCATGGTAACGATGCTGATGAGAAGTACTGGAGCGAATAATTTTCTTTTTCTTTTTCTTTTTCTTTTTTTAAAATGGGCAAAATAAGGCTGAGAATTACTGGAGCATGGTCTGCTGTAATTTGTCTTTGTTTTTTTGTAAATGTAGTGAGTGGGTTTATTTATATCTGGTTTTTGAAGTTAAGTGCAGAGATTAGATAAAATATGTTTTAGGACATGAGTTGAGAGACCAAATTGCACAGCTTTTATTTGGTGTTTGAAATTTTAATGTCAAATAATTTTTAAGCTATTGGTAATTCCTAAAATCGTTTAAGAAGATTGGGCATTGCAAGTTTTGCTTCAGTTATTATGGTTAATCTCTCTGGCAGTAATACCTTTTTGTTTCATTTGGGCATATGAGTTTTACAACTTGATTGTAGTTTACTGCAATTCACAGTGTGTAAGAGAGAAAGACACACCAAAAAAGATTTTAAATGTTTATAGAAGTAGATAAATTGATGGAGTTTGTTATGCTGCATTCTTTAAATACTAGTCTACTGGAAGATGAAGCTCTTGTCTTGGCTATGGAGATCTCGTTTTCCTGGATTGATTAGGTAACCCCCTAATATCCACTAAATTCTATGTCTCTAAGAGTAGATGTGTAATTTGTGGGATGCAGGCTGTGTGGTTAATTTGTTTCTTTTATGACCTAGGTGAATAAACCTGTCCGGAAACCATTTAAGGAGGGTGATGAGGGAGGACTGAAGTTGGTTCAGACCATTTTCAAGCCAATCATGTTAAGCAGAACAAATCTAGTACAGATCAAGAAGCAGCTTAGTGTACTGTATAACGTTGTAATGCAACATAACCTCTCAGGTCTCAGCTTTGTTTTAAATGAATCTCCAAAAGTTTTAGCTTATTGCAGGCCAACTCTAGTTCTTCCTCCTGCAGATGCTCAAGTGATTTACTGTGAACTGACAGAAGGTGAAAGAGATTGCCTGCATTGTTTAAAAGATCCAAGGTTTGAAATTCTTTTGTATGATTACTTTTCACGTGATATTATTTGGTCTAGCTTTTCTGTCGTGGTTTTGTATAACCTTTTGATGGGAATCCCCTCAGGTGAAGTTTTATCAGTTTGTAGAGCAAGGGCGGTTCTTCATAATTATGCCTCTATATTGGACTTACTTTTACGTCTTCGACAATGCTGTGATCACCCATTTCCTGTCATGAGGTCTGAATTCCCCTTCATAACTGTTTCCTGTTTGTATACCTTAGAATGGTGATGATTTTCATAGGGAATGATGGTATGATGGTTTTGAAAGGAATTATGATGTACCATGCTAGATTTTTGTTATCCTTCAATAGTGTTGTGTTACATGGTTATTTCATCTGGAAAAGAACCCTTGTGCTCAAATTTTGATTTGGATGGTGGAAAGGAACACAGTTTCTGAGCTAGTTTCTTGTAAACAGTCACTTTGCTTTTTCACTTTAATGAGCCAGAAACTTCTGAAATATGAAAGTTCCTTTTGCAATTCCTACCTATTGAATGCCACTTTTAAACTTTTAAATGTTTGCCGACGTAAACTTAAATTGGTAAATATTGCCATCAAAATCACCATATAATAGCACTTCTTTGAGATTGGTAATTTTATGGTTCAATTATCAATATCATGCATCTTCATAAATTGGTCACAACTAAAACAGCAGCATAGATGGACACAAACTGGGCCAGATCTTTGTTCAAAGGAATGTACCATTGTGTTGTTATTGATTTAGTGACTTTGACATCTCCAGTCGAGGTGATACACTAGAATATTCTGATCTAAACAAGCTAGCTAAACGCTTCCTTAAATGTGGCCAGAATGCCCTGGAAGGAGAAGCCAGAGATGTTCCTTCATGGGAATATATTCAAGAGTTGTCTTGAAGCATTTGAAGATGCAGTATTGACACCTTGTTCTCACCGCAAATGCCGAGAATGTCTCTTGGCAAGCTGGCGAAATTTGAGTTCTGGTTTATATGTCCTGTTTGTAGGTACCTTCAAGCTACTGTTATGAGTTCCTCTCTATGATTTTCGTTTTTTCATATTTCATTTTAGGTTTAAACATTATTCTTTATTCAATCTTTCTATTACAAACTCTTCTTTCCTACAAGCTGAGAGTGTTCTCGTTTTCTTCTCCTCAGGAAAACCATCACTAGACAAGAGCTCATTTCAGCTCCAACTGACAGTAGGTTTCAGATTGATATTGATAAAAATTGGGTGGAATCATCTAAAGTTGTTGCTCTCTTGAAAGAGCTTGAAACCTTCATTCATCAGGCTCTAAGAGCATTCTCTTCAGCCAATGGACTTCCTTTCTGGATCTCTTACAAATTCCCTTTCTGGGTATGAAATCCTACCTGCTTAAAGATTTGAAATGGTGTGCTTGGTTGTATAAGGGCACCCCGATGATATATGTTTCAGTTGTATGCTTTTGGCAAGTGGACTGACAAAGAGAGTGAGGTCTTGTCAGGGTGATTCAACTTTAAGGGCGCTCCATTGATATACTTTTCAGTGGTATGCTTTGGCAAGGATAACAAAGAGAGTGAGGTCTTGTGAGAGCTGCTTCGACTTTACGGACTGTTTAGCCTGTTTGAAGATTTCAAAATAAACGACCTGACCTGCTTAATTTTGAAATATGATGTGCACAAATATGATTTATTCAAATTGATCTTGGTAGCAAGGTGGTTTATTTGGACTGAAGTACGGTTTGAGATTTCTGAACTATATATATATTTTTTTCATTTTTGTATTTTGTTATGGTATCTCAGATAATGCTTTCTCATGAAAGTTCCAATCAGATTCTGTTCTATAGTTGCATGCTTCATGTGGAATGATGCCTGTTTTGGCTAGCCACCGCATTTACTTTCTATTAAAATTCCCATGCAGACCAGAAGTAGCATTTTATTTCTTGGTCTGTATGGGACTTTAAACCAGCAGCAGTGATATAAAACAGTTTTCAGAAGATGAGAACATCTCGGTCTGTCAATCTTTTTTATTTTATTTATTTATTTATTTTTCCCATCTTTGTGATAGATTGGATGTGCTTGTCAAGCAGAGAAGCTTGGGTATTGATCATCTGAGTGATTGTTTTGAATCAGGTATTACTGACGCGGTTGAAGGCTGGAGGTGTTGAAATAAATCTAACAGGAGCTTCCAATGCCTTTGTCATGGTAGGGACACTATCAAACTTTTTTTTTGTTTGTATTGCAAGATGATGCCTCGAGAGGATGAATTTTCCTTCTACATTTGCAGGTACATAAGCAGACACCAGCCTTGACTTGAGAACATAAATTTTCATTGTAAAGGTAAATTTTCATCCTTGACTTGGCTTATGTGGTTCAATCTTGTTTGTTTGATCTCTTCTTGTTCTGTTTAGAAGTACGGAGTAAAACAGAGTTATGGCCCTCCTTTCTTGTGCTATAACTGACTTTCAATTTACTTGCTTTGACATACTTGCAGTCCATTATCTGTTCCTAAGTTTTGCTAATATTTCTCTACATTGCATAAATATGTACTTTGGATAAAAGGGAACGGTTGAGGAAAGAAGAGGCAGTGCAAGCACGCAAGCAACAGATACTTTTCAATACTTGCTTGAACATTACTGCCAGTCCCATTAATCTGTTTCCTAAGTTTTGCTAATATTTCTCGTACATTGCATAAAATATGTACCTTTGAAAAAAGGGAACGTTGAGGAAAAGAAGAGGCAGTGCAAAGACGCAAGCAAACAGATGATAGCCGGTGCCTTTGACCCACCAGTAAGTTGGAACAGCACGAACGAAGAACTGGAAAATGCTTTTTCAAATGGAGGCCAGTGCAAGCACGGCAAGCAAACAGATGATAGCCGGTGCCTTGGACCCACCAAGAAGTTGGAACAGCACGGACTGAAGAACTGAAAATGCTTTTTCAAATAGATGACTGGGCTGTGACATGGAGGTTTTTTTTTGTCGATTCACAATTGCACATTCTCCTTGTGAAGTTGAGCTTCTGCATGTAAGGATGTAACTAGTGTGAAATCTCCTTCTGAGTTATTCAGTACCTTATTCCAAAAAATCAGGGCAGGACTCTGAATAGAACCAGCGTGTATAATTAATATATATGAAGAAGGATTTTGTAGGTAGTTAAGCATATCAATTTTAGGAAAGCATATCAATTTAGGATTACAGTATTAGGAGTGTATTGGATTATGATTGTGTAAGATTTTCAAAGAATTGTTGTGTTTGATAAAATTGAAGGATTTCTTATGATTTCACATATTCCATTAGAATTTTACATAGAGTTTTATGGAATTGGTAAGATTTTTTTTATAGATTTTGATTGACTTTGATGGAATTACAATAATTTTTTTATATCTAATAAAAATTAATTTTAGGACCTAATTGACAAATTAAAAGGTTTTGGGGTCCAATTGAAAAATTGAAAAACAACGAGGGATCAAAAAGTAAATGTATTATCATCTCAAAAACTTACCGCCGCGGGCAGTGAAGGCTAGCAATGGCCAGTGTTATCGGCCATTACGTAATTCCAAAACATTCACGATGTGGTCAAGAACGGTGATCATCTTGTGCTCTTAGAACAGTCACGATGTGATCAAGAACAGCGATTGTCTCGTCAAAAAATCGTAAGTTTAAATAAATAAATAAATACATATATTAATTTAAAATCGAAAAACAACAACCACCATTAGCCAGGACTCGCGACAATTAGGTGGTTTTATATTAATTTAAAATCGATGCAGCGATGCACCCACCCGTCGCTTGCGGACTCAAGGAGCAGAGTGGGTTCGGGGTCACAAACCAATGGCAAAGATTGTATTCTTTAGTTTTTTGATTATTTTAAAACTTTTTTAAAATTTTTTTATTTGATTAAATCATTATTTAAATGAAATCACGCATATTTTTTTATTTGATTAAATCATTATTTAAATGAAATCAACGCATACAAATTCAAAAAAAATAATAAAATCAATTCTGAAAATTTGCAGCACCATTAATATTAATTTTTGTGAAAATATCAAATTCTTAGTACATAAATTAATTCGAAACTAATCCAATAAATAATACGTTGTTTTACATCTTAAAGAGTAAAGATGGAAGTAGTACAGTTATTATCTTAAAGAGTAAGAATGGAAGTAGTACAGTTATTTTAGAGTACCCGCTCCGCTCCGACCATTCAAAGAGGATCCAAATAATTATAAAAGAGTTTGGAACGAATATAGATAGTGAAATTACTACTCGTAATGGATATGGATAGTGAAATTACTATATATAGGATATGTGTACCACTTGTAATGGATACAAGTAAGGTACGTATATAGATATTTGGATACCCGTTACTCAGTAATCGCTATATTAAACAGGTTCAGTTGTAGGTACCCGCGCCCTATCCATGAGTAGTACCCTATCCATATTTAGTAAAAATTAGATTTTAAATAAATTCGAATTTGAATTAGTTTAAGATTCACGGACACCCTACCCGTTTAAGAGGTACTTTAAACAAGTTTTGGACACACACGGGTAATAAAATTTAAACGGGTTCGAATATGGATACTTGAAAGAGTATTTAAATGGGTTTAGAACCAATACGTTTAAAATTCGCGAATTTCCACTCCACTTCCATTCTTATTAAGAGGTGTATTGAATAAAGATTCTGTTAGATTTCAAAAGATTGTTTAAATTTTTGGATTAGAGGATAGATTTGTGAGACTCTTTTATTCATACCTAGCACCTTAAAATCCAATGAAATTAATAATTTTATAAAATCCTTTTAAATCAATAAATTTTGAATATCATCAAATTTGTATGGACTTTTAAAAAATCATAACTGAATATCATCAGATTTTTATGGATTTTATAAAAGTTTGAATTTGATAGCCACAAAGTTTTAATAGACCTCAAAAAAACTCTAGATTGAATACTATTAAAACTCTAAAATCTTTTAAAATCTAATAGAGTCTTAATTCAATATACCATACTTAGTATAGAAGCTATGTTTGCATTATTATTTTTTCTGTACAAGGGATATTAGTTTTTAGTCATTTATTTATATATTTGCCCATTCTTTTTTATTTCCATTATCTTCATCTTAAAAATAATAATGCTCGTCAATTTGGTTTTATTTTGGTAATTTGCTACGTTTAAAAATTAATTAATTCATTATAATTAATTGAGTTCATATTAAAAGATATATATAATTAATTAAAGACGGGTATTTGGAAATCTGAGTTTTTTTTTTTTTTAAAGATAATGCCTTAAATTTTAATAAAGATAAAATAATACATATTGATATCTAACATAAAATGACGAAAACAAATCTTTATTTAATATAATACTAATTCACTCTTCATTTAATATAATTAATATGTATATAGTTAATGTGAAATCAAATTTAGACTTTACAACTATAGAAAAGAAACAACACTACAAGGCCAAGGAGCCTCAACCACGGTTCAAAAAAAAAAAAAAAAAAAAAAATTGATTAAAATATCAAAAATGAGTTAAAAATCAAAATTTAATTTATAAAATTATAAATATTTATTGTTAAATACGAAAAAAATAAAACAAAACTATAAATTATGAGAGTCTTCATCATGGTAGCTGGGCGTTGCACATGAATAATATTTCTTGATAATATGTGGATTATAATGTGTTTATAATTTTTTTTTCTTTATTATAGTACAGTTATTTATGTTCATTTTTAGCAAAGAATAGGAAAATTCATTTTCTTTATTAATTAATTTCCCTAGATTATTACCAGAAATAAACAAATAAATTGAAAAATAATATTCATTTCTCCCGGACTTAAAAACAATATATAGTTTGCTCAAAAATTATTTTTTTAATATAATTTTCCTCTTGAGCTTGCAATAAATAATCAAAAAGCCTAATGAAACGTACAATTTACCAAGGACTGCAAATTCGAGTTAGGGATGGCCATTTCACGGTTTTTGGAACTGGGGTTTGCGGTTCGGTTCCGGTTTCAACTTTTGAGGAATAGCAAATCGACAGTTTCAAGAATCGGTTGGAACTAATTATTTTTTCAACCAGTTAGAACCGGCGGTTCCACCTAGTTCCAACAACTATTTTTTTTTTTTTTTTACTTTTTAAATATTTTTGTGAAATCTTCAAATGAATCCTTCTAACAACTTTTTATTAATTTTTTCTTAAAGTTTTTTCTAAAAATTATTTCATAAATATTTAAATTTTTCAAATTT